CATTTTGTCTTTGTAATTTACAGAAATTATTGCAGAAAATAAACATGTTTCATTTTGCATCTCTGTTGTTGATTTTTGCTATTGCAGAAGCATAGCTGTGGTTTCTGAAGATCAGTTCAGTAGCATTTCAGTGCAATGGTTTCTGTATCCTGCGTGATGCTCAGATTGTGGGAGTTGTCTACAGTGTATCCCACAAAATCTCACATTCTGTCTCCCATTTCTTGGATTCACCTTGAGTTTTTCCCAAGTATCAGATGCTTTTTGGTAACTATAGCCCTGTCCTTTAATTGAAAATTGTCTTTCATTTGATCTGTAGTTTTTTTATCTGTTTAAAAACCTCCACTGGATTTTTTCCCTTCTTATTTTCTTCTTTCCTTTTTTAAAAAAGTAAAACATGGTTTAAAATATTGCAAATACATTCTGTTATCCCATTAATGAGGATAATTCATTCCTGAAAAGTCCTATAAGATGAATTCTTACAGGTTAAAATCATAAATAAAATACCAAATGTTGGTGAAATAAGTGTAATTGTTTAAGTAATGAGCATTATCAGAAAACATGCAACAAGTGTTCCCTTCAATCACAAATGATTCTACCATCTCTACTTTAGCGCTTATTGCTGCTTTATACTATACACTCAAACTTGATTTCAAACAAAACATGTGTGATGTTCAGTGTTTTCTTAATTGAACCTTTAATGCTTTCCTCTTCCCCCACCAAAGTACAAATCAATAAAAATAATCTAAATGGTATGTAAAGTTATTTCTACTTTTGATTATTAATTATATAATATCTTAGAAGGAGAATTTATTTCTACTGAGGCAAACCTAGTAACTCAGATAATTTCATGCAGACACTCTATTGGGCAAAAAAACCTAAATAAACCCAAACCCATCTTTTTAGATAGAAAGAAATGCCTCCTAAGCCAAAAAGGAACTTGCACTGCCTTAGGGATCAGATTTCAGGCTACAACTGTAGGACAAATGAAATATATCAAAAGTAAGTATCTTTCTTACTTTTCACCCTTATTTAACCTTTCCAGAAGCAACTTTCTTGTGTGATTCACTTTCTTGTGTGATTCTGAGGCAGTGTATGGAGACATGTCTTCCCCTTTAAACATCTGAGAGATTGTTCTGATAGCATACATTCTTTTTAACTGCTGGGTATATTTCGTAGTGCTGTATTTTAGTTTCTCATTGATGGGCACATAACTTGATTCTAGTATTTTACAACCACAAAAATGATGCATTGACTTTCTTATGTATAAATGTCTGCACATATGTGATAATTTTCAAATTGTCCACTTTTACATAAGCTTCTATGTTAATACAGATTTAAAGAGCAGAATAATGTATACATCACCACACTGAGTATGAAAGAATGGACTTTTCTTTCATACTGATTGAATAACTGACACTAATTTTTTCTACTCCTTATATAAACTTTGTTTAGACAGGCTCCAAAGTCTTTAATAATTAAACCTACCCATCCAAAAATAAACACATGATATTGTGGGGGGCACTCCCAGAACAGGTTGAAGCTCAGCCTTCTGAAATGTGACATAACTCTCAAATGTTGGGTGCTGACAAAAGCATGCACATGCTCCAGCAAATATGAGGGTGATGCTTTTTGAACAAAATTAAGAGGCAAACTGCAAAGATTGAGCTGGAAAATGCAGCCGATCAAAGTAGCAGGACATTTGCAAAGTAGCAGTATCTGACTAGCTCAGGGCAGAGAACTGTCTAGTGGCATGTGAGTGTGTGGTATTCTGGAAAAACAGTCAAAAGAACTCAACTCTGTGCCTCTATAAATGGGCAACAGAAGCTGGCTGAGCGAACAATGTAGGTTCTGGCACATGGAAAAGCTTTCGAAGAATCAGCCCCAGAAGATGGTACGTAGGAGGGAAGAGACATTTCTAAACATTTAAGTTAGGGCCTAAAATGACATCCAAGAACTGACTAGACATAGCGGATTATAAAATGGTGAATGTACAGAAGAGAGAACAGGAGGATACTGCTAAGCAACAGGAGGATACTCTTCTAGTAGAAGAGATGTAGTAAGGGCTTCCATAGTGCTCCCTCCAAAAGCATTTAAAGCTGTGCATTTAATTCAGGTTAAAAACACTCTGGTAGACAGAATAAAGTTCCCCTGCCCCTCAAGATGTCCATTTTTGTAATCCTTTGGAGCTATGAATATGTTAAATTACATGACAAGGGAGAATTAAAGTTGTGGGATTTTAAGATTATCTTGGATTATCCAGATGTGCCTAACGTGAAAAGAAGGGTCCTTTAAAGGAGCTGTAGAAGGGAGAATTAAAGAGTTAAAGAGATTTGGAGATGTTGTGCTGGTGGCTTAGAAGATGGAGGAAGAAGTCCTAAGTCAAGGAATGGAGGTGGGCTCTAGGCACTGGAAAAGGTAACTGAACAATTTCCTCAGGGCTTCTAGAAAGAACCACTCTTGCTGACATCTTGTCTTTGGCCAAATTACAGCCGTTTTAGACTTCTGGCTTACAGAATTATATTGAAGTTTGTGATGACTTATTATAGCAACAATCAGAAATGTCACAAACACTAAGAGGCCAGAATCTACTAATCCCAAAGATGATTCAGTTTAACAGATGTTATTGTGAAGGAGAACAAGGGAGGGGGAGGGGAGGAGAAAAGAAAAATTAAAAAATGAAAGGAAAACTAAAAACAAAGCTGTGTAAATGGGGAGGGGATGAAGGGTTGATGGGGAGTAAAGGAATAGGGGTGGAAAAAATTAAGATATATTAGGTACAAATCCACTAAAAAAAAAGCAAATGTTATTGAACACATATTATTTGCCCTGTGTTGAATGCTGTAGGCTCAATGGTGAGAACAGTTCCTGCTCACAAACTTGCAGCTGCTCAAATGGCCTGTTACCTCATAGGTGTTAAGTATTCACTGGGTGGGTGGATTTATTTTCTGTAAGGACCTGCATGGCCTGATACCCTGTACTTTACCCAGTCTCCTATGATCTGCCCATGTTTACTGCCCTCTTGCTGTTTCTTCACTCCATTAAATGTGCCCTGCCTCAGCCACTGTATTTGCTGTTAACATTCTAGAATGTTCTTCTAGATATTTACATAATTTGTTCACTTATTTCTTGGAGATCTCTGTTCACTGTTACCTTGTTAGAGAGGTTCTGCTTAACTCCACTGTTGCATACAAGCTGGTTCACTCAACTGAAGAAGGAAACTCCTGAAACGGGGGCTGCCCTCTATGCCAAGAGCTGTACTTGCCAAGACCCCTTAGCAGAGGTCTGAATCTTGCTGGAGGGGGCTTTTTCTCAAATTCGTACAACACTGCTTTCTACTACCTAAGCCATGCACCTTTTTCTAACTAGCAGAGATACCATAATGCTTATTAGCATCCCTGTTTTTTGTCATGTAGAAGCATCTAGAGTAAAATCAGATACAGTAAAAAAATCATAGAGTAAAATCATGTCATAGAGTAAAATCTTTGTCTGTTTGTTCATCTCTATGTTTTTAAATGCTTAGAACAGTATCTGGCACATAAGCACCAATGCAGTGGGAGTTTAGAAGTAAAGCATCTAACCCTGTCTGGAGAGGCCAAAAATATGTTGCAAGAGAACATATATTTGGATTTCTTCCTCCTTACATTTCACAGTTCCTGAGTTGAAAGATTTTGGAGATAAACATATTTGGATATGGAGTTGAAGGAGTCTAGAAGTACCCCCTACACATACTTCCTCTGAGTGATTTTTGCAATAGCAATGCTTGCCTCTTCTTGATACTAAGGGAGTGTAAGTGTATATGCGTAAAAGCAGTGCCAGCCAGGCTGCAGGCATTCCATTCCAAAGCTAGTGAACACATCTAAAATGTTTATACTACAACTATGCCTAACATCTGTAGGACAGGGTAAGATGGCAAGGGGAAGCATGGAGGTTTGGAACTCTTAACAGTCCCTAAGGTTCTCTTTGATTTATAATTTTACAAGTAAGAGTAACATGCTTCTAGTCAGAGCTAATTAAAGAGAGGCAGCATCAGAGTATCGGCCTTAGGAATGGGAATTCAGTGTTTCTTCTGGTACACTTCTCTTCATAGTGATCAGCAAAAGCAAGTGTTTAGGAAACACTCCTTTTAATATACTTAGAATGCCTCTTGCTTGCTTTGCTACCTTGAACTGTTGCCCACCATTGCCCACCATGAACTGTTTCTCTTTTGTGAGGCCTCTGTGCCCTGCCACCCTGCCTTGGAACCAGCCAACTATTCACTGAAACTTCTACAAAGTGAGCTAAGTAAACCTTTCCTCCCTTAAATATATATATACATATATATTAAATATATATATACACACACACACATATATAGAACGTTATATCCATTTCCTAGAAAAAACACTAAAACTTTTTCAGTTTAATGATTTCCCACTTGAGAAAGGGTAAAAGAAATACGTTAGAAAACAGAAAAGATTTTCCCTTTTTCATTTCCACAAATGTTAGAGCCTGTTTTCAGTCACAAAAATCCTCGCAGAAACCTGGAATTGCAAGGGACTCAGGAAAGCAAGTGGTACAAGTACACTCACTGTATTCTCAAACCTGAGATCCATGTGACTTGTCACCAAGCCACCTGGAGTTAAAACCAGAAACATCATCTTGGAAATGAGTTCATTGGTCTTATCATTGTTCCATACTAGAGTCTCTTGCAAAGAATTAGCAGAGTGGAATACTTACAAAATTTTGGCTCAGGCGCTTGAGGGTACAGATTTAAACCAAGTTAATAGACCATCCGGGTTTTAGTTAAGAGACATTTAAGTAAGCTCATTTAAATAATTCTTTAACCTAGAAAAGCTTTTTTGGCAGCCTAGGATCAATGGCAAATAAACTTCTACCCTAGAGCTGGAAAGAACAAACACTGAATGTAAATTCCATCTTTTTAAGAGCTCAGTAAATATTTTCCTTCTCTTTCTACTTAGCCTGTTTTTTTGTTTTTTTTTTTTTGTTTTTTTTTTTTTTGAAAGTGAGACATATCCGCTCCAACTTGACTTATCACGCGCTCAATCAACTGTAGGATTCATGATAAGACCCTTAAATAAAGGGTGCCAGAGCTACCAGTGCTGTTCATTTGGGTATCGGTCCCAATTTCCCCGGCACCTGTGTGCATTGCTACTGTGTGTTTCAGGCATGAAGGTGTGATATAAGAATGCACGGCTGTATAATTTAGGGCTTTGTGGTACTTTACTCGCTTCCTGGACCCTGCTTTCCTAAACACGCCCCCTAGCTCCGATCTTACCAGGACAGGCGACCCAGAGGGCGCCGGCACTCAGTAGTTACTATACCAGAGCCTGCTCCTCAGGTGTTGGGACAGGCAGGCCACCAGAGGCGCTGAGGCGCGCCAACGCCAGTGCGGGGCTGGCGGGCCCGTGGCTGCCGCCGAATCCCGCCCACAGGTGACACAGCTTGAAACAAGAAGGGCCCTGAAGCTTGGCCCTCCTTCCCTACTTTCCATGGCTTTTATCCTCTTTCTGCATCTTTCTCTCCGCGACGGGCGTCCCTACGCGACAAACACCACTGGACAGTTCGGACCAGAGGCGAGCCGGGGATGAGCCTGAGGTGGCGGAGGCCGCCCGCGGACAGCAAGCTCGGCAGGCGGTGGGGGTGCGGACAGCCGCGGTCTCCGCGGGTCCCGGGACCGGAAGTGCGCCGCGTCGCCATGGCTACGGGCGCCAGCGCTCCGCCCCTACGCCTGCGGTTCCCATGGCAGCTCCATTGTATTCCTGGCGAGGAGCGCCAAAAGCGGACCTCTTACCTTTCCGCGTTGTGGCGCCCGGAACGAGGTCGGCGGAGGCCGGGACGCTACGTGGCCCGCGGTAGCGGACCCGCCGGGCAGAAGGAGACCGAAGCCCACTTCCGGGGCGGGGCTGCTCCACCGCAGCCAGGTGCGCGGCCGCTCGCCCGCCGGCCGGGCCTCGGGAAGCCCAAGCTCGCGCGGGCTGGGTGTATGAGGTTACCGGGGAACAGCCATCTGAAGCGGGGAAGCGCTTCGTCCTTGAGAGAAGGGCCAGAGTGGGGTGGCCCAACTCAGAGCCTTATGCACCCGCAGAAGGACAGGGCACAGGAGTGTGAGAGAGCAAACACACCCTGTTGCCCTGGGCACAGTTTAGAAAGTAGGGATTAGAAAGAAAAATGAGCGAGTCTTCCCTTCTGATTTTCTGATAGTGGTGTTCAGGGTCGAGGCTACTCAGGGATCCTGTGAGAATGAGTGACAGTCAGTAGAGTGAAGAAATGAGGAGCGCCCTGGTGGGTGTGAATGTTCACAAAGTCCGTGCGTTCCGTTTGGGTTCGATGGAAGCCTCAGAGATGGCCTTGAGAAATGAATTTCACAAACAATTTCCGTCATGTGTTTAAGCCTAGCAGCAACCAGAACAGACGCGTGGGTCTTAGCTCCTTAACTAGAACTTCCTATTGGATAGTGAAATGACCCGGAGAAGGCGGGGAATTAACCAGAACCCTGGCTGTCCTTCATTTAGTACCGAGAGATCGTTGCTCTGTTTGACTCTTCTTTCCATCAGGTCTGCCAAACATATTAGAGTTGTGTGTAGGTGAGCATAGTTTGGCTGATCAAATGTAAAGGTGCAGATTGGTAAAGGTTAAAAGCAAGTCCAGGCATTTAGGAGAAGTAAAATAGAGTTGATATGGGGCGGGGAGAGTTTAATTCCTTTAATTTGTCAAATGCCTTTCATTTCTACTCTATGGAGGCCTTCCCTCATATGTGAATTTTGCATAGGCTATTTTTGGATTGTATTTGGTAATTTCAATTTGATATTAGTAGCATTCAACACAGGGAACATAGCTCAAACTCCAGCCAAAGCCTTGTCTCTCAAAGCTGACCTCACTTGTGATTCTTGGTAGGAGAAAGATGCAAGCCAATCCCATCCGCATCCCAACAGTTAGCAATGACACCGACTGGGCCTTCTGCTTCAACCTGTAAGTACTAGAGAGCCTTGACATCATACTTCGGTGTCCCAAAACACTCGCTTTTCTCCCTTAGGACGGGCCTGGGTGAGGAACTTAGCATGCACATTACAAGAGAAAATTCCACTTCTACAGTATGATTTAATAATAGTTATGGTACTGTATTCACTTGAATCTATACCTTATATACTAAGATGGAAGATAATTATTTTTTCTCTAACTTGAGAAAAAATGTTTTTAAAAATAAAGATGAGAAACTAGGTGTGGTGACACATCCCTATAATAGATTATTTATAACAAATAAGACTAGTAATGTCATAGAGAAAAAAATAACAAAACTGAGTAAGTTGTCTTGTAAAATAAAGAGAAAATGAGTAAATAAAAATTTTCACATGGTAATGCCTGATACTTATTTGAGCATGTATTATGTGTCTGTCTCCTAGCAATCCTGTGAAGATTTTATAAATGAGGAATATAAATCAAGGAGAGATTAGGCAGTTTTCCCAAAGTCATACAGCTAGTTAGTGGTATTGAAACTAATCTGTCTGACTTCAGAGTCTGTTTTCTTTTAACCATTCCTCTATACCAGGGTTTCTCTACTTCTGTACTATTGACATTTGGGGCTAAATAATGGTTGTGGAGGCCGATGCTATGCCTTGTAGGATATTTAGCAGCATCCCTGGTTTCTACTCACTAGATGCTAGTATCACTGCCCCAGTCATAATAACCAAAAGTAGCTCCAGACATTGCCAGATGGCACCAGGAAGTAAAATCATTCTTAGTTGGGAACCATTACTCTGTCTTTCTCATCCAGTAGAAATATATAATGCAAGCCACAAATATGAATCACATACTGAAAAGTAAAATGATACCTGTTGTCTTTCCTGATTTGGATGAGACTTTTAGGGTCTTTGAGATCTTCCAATTAGTACTCTTACTTTGTAGATGAATAAACTAAGGCATGAAGCTAATAACAGTGGTAGGAACTGACACTTAAAGAGCACTTCCTAAATGCCAATTACTGTGCTAAGTGATTTATTATATAATTTAATCCTCTAACTTCATTGAGTAGGTATTTATATTTACTTCATTTTACAGAGAAGTATATTAAAGAATAAGTTACTTAGCGATTTTTGCTTAGTAAGCAGCAGAGCTGGGCCTCTACTGTAGGTGACATTCACCAAATCTGTTGAACTGGCTGCCTTTGATGCTGGGCTTTGAGAGTAACATGAGTTTACCACCTATTTATTCTTTCAAGTTTAATTTAGAAAACATCCCTCATCCACAGTTGAGGCAGTATCTTAGTTACGTTTCTCATTGCTGGGACAAAATACCTGACACCCAGGTAAAGGGGGGAAAGGTTTATTTATTTAGCTCATGGTTTGTAGAGGTTTCAGTCCACAATCAGCTGGCTTCTAGGCAGGGTGGCACATGGCAGAGGGCAACAGTTCATGGTGGTGGAAGACAGCAAAAGCAATGAGAATGAAACAAGCCCCTTTCTGCCCCTTATACTATATCTAGTGCACTGATCCAGCAATCACCCACTTTTAATCCTAGAACCCTTAATCCTGGCATTGCACTACAGATCAATCACACACTCTATTTTCAGCCACCTCAGAAATCTCTATGACTGAATGAGGCTTTGGGGGATATCTAGACACAAACCATAACAGAGAGCTATACCCTTCAATTTTATCTTTTTTGAACATCCTAACTCTGTGCGCCTCTCGTGTCCACAGGTCACGGCAAACCAGGACTCCAGAAGACCAGCAAACAGGTGAACTGTATCCCACTTGTGGGTCTAGAGAGAGTGAAGAAGACATTGCAGTCCAGAAAGAGGAGAGGGCTGTTGACCATACGTCTTTTCCCAAAGAGAAATTAGCTGAGTCCCAGAAGAAAGTAGCTCAGCTGATTAAGGAAAACATGGTAAAACAAACAAAAAAATTCACTAGATTTTTGTTCCATTTAAAAATATGCCCATGATTAAGAAGTCCTGCTTTGCTGCAGAGGGAAGTATGAGGAAGAAGATGCTGTATTTCTTAGTTAAGTGGAAGAAATCAGAGTAGAGTATAGTTGGATAGCCAGTCACCTTCTAGTTCTACACAGGATTCACTATCTATTCATCCTTGAAAGGTCTGTGCTTCTACTGTTAAACTTAAATTTGATGTTTGCTTGGTCCTGTTGCTGTTTGAAATGGCAGGTCAGATAAAAAATGAGGGTAGCTGAAGCTAAGTACTTAGGGGGAAATGAATAGAAGAACTTGTTATTAGAATATTAGTAGGGTAGAGTCAACTGTACTTGATAGAGTTTGGATGTGTAGTGGGAAAGAATGAGAAGAAAAAAAAAGGTGAGGGAAATTTAGCCCTACCTTCCTGTGATGGGCCAGAGATTTTGTTCCTTTCCTAAAATCATACTGACTTTTTGTCCTCTACAGACTACCCAAGCAAACAGGGAGCTGATTCGATGTGTCATCTTCTCCCGGATCATTTTTGGAGAAGAACACTGGAAATGGGCACAGGCTTTGACCAAATTGGCTTATGGCTACCTAACACTGAGAGGTACTTGGTTTCCCAGGATGGGGTCTAGTTGGGCCAGAGTGTGAGACTGAAATGAACCTCTAAGGGTAGGGATGACTAGGAGGGCACCTTCCCACCCCCAGCTTATACCTCATCAAGAGAAAGTAGAATCTATAGATAAGGCGCACAGTGTATCTTTTTTTTGGTACCAGGAATTGAACTCAGGACCTTGAGCTTGCCAGGCAGGTGCTTGTGCCACTGAGCTACATCCCCGGCCAAGACAGTGTATCTTAACAATAATAGTGGTGGTGACAGTTATTATTTGGTATTGTATATAGCAAGGCAATTTTATTTTGTTCTCATAATATTCCTTTGAGGAGTTACTATCATTATCCTTCATTCACATGTGAGACACTAAAACACAAAGACTGTTTAGAGATCCAGCCGCAAGTCAGCAGGGCAAGGGAAGGCAGGTATGCACATGGAGCATCATGGAGGCAGACCCAGTAATAGGACTTGCATTCCAGAGATTAAATTCAAGTCCCTAGAAGGAAAGGGTAGGGCCTTCAGCTTAGAGAAGTGATGTTTCTGGAAGATGTCTTGTGTAGGAGTACAAGATGGAATCCATTTTCCGAAACCAGAACCTAATGGAAAGCTCTGTGAGGGCAGGGACTTTGCGGCAGATGCTCAGTCAATATTTCTTGACTGACTGAAACACACAAAAAATTTTACAATAAGTGTCATGGCCAGCTGAAGGTCCTCTGCTCTTTTTTTTTTAAAGAGAATTTTTAAAAATGATAAAAGCAATACAGAATTTCAAAACAAGATGATAGGAAATTAACAGTGGTTGTTATATTGCATATTGTTATCTTCAAAGTAGTTGCTCAGATTACCAGATATAGGCATGCAAAATGCATCAAACAATATAGCATTAACTGTTCCTTTCAACAAACTAATAGAAATTACTAGTACAATCATCCTAGTTATCTTGTGTGTACATATATATTTTTCCCCTTCCTTGTTTTCTCCTTTCCCCCACCCCAATTGTTCTTTCCTTTTGAGCAGTTTCTTTCCCTTTTACAATATCTATTGTACCTTTTGGATCTTATTTATTCTTTTAATTTCTTATACTAGAGAGACAATAGAATGTTTACACATGCTAGATCGATTTATTTCACTTATGAGCATGGTCTCTAGTTGGATCAATTTGCCTATAAAAACCTCGAGTTTATCTTTCTTTACAGCTGAGTAATATTCCATTCTGTAAAAATACCACACCTTTTTTTAATCCGTTCCTCAGTTGATGGGCCTTTGGATTGTTTCTAAGATTTAGCTATGATAAATTGTGCTACTATAAACATGGTTGCACATGTATTGCTGTGGTATGATATTTTCAGTTCTTCCAGGAAAATACCCAGAAGGGGAATAGTTGGGTCGAATGGGACCTCTAATCCTAGTTTTCTGAGGAATCTCCACATTGATTTCCACAGTGGTTGTACCAGTCTGCCCTCCCACCAACAGTAGAGCAGGGTTCCTTTTTCCCCACAGTCCTGACAGTATTTATTTATTTATTTATTTATTTTTTTTATGCTAGCCATTCTTTCTGGGGTGAGATGAAATCTCAGTATTGTATTAATTTGCATTTCTCAAGTGACCAGTGGTGTTGAACATTTTATCATATATTTCTTCATCTGACTATGATTAGATTTATTGATTAGGAAGTCTTTGGGGGTCTTCAGGAGAACTGTTTCCCCCACTATGGTTGGAGTAGAAGCCAGATCAGAAAAGTCAAGTGTATCAGTCAGCTTTTACATTATTGGATGCAACCTGGATGCCCACAACTTAAAAGGAGGAAGTTTAATTTAGCTTATGTTTCAGGGGTTTCAGTACATGGTTGGCAAGCTCCAAGGCAAGAACGTCACTGTGGAAAGGTGTGACAGAGGAAAGCTGCTTACCTCTTGACAGCCAAGAAACAGAAAGAAGGGAGGAGCCAGGGAAGGAGATACTGTGTACTACAGGAAGGCAAGCCCCCTGTGGCACACCTCTTCCACCCAGGGCCTGCTCCTAGCAGCACATTTAGCTTTGATCTCATCAAGAGGTGAATTCACTGGTGAATATACCTACTATGCCCATGACCCAGTAACCTTACAAAATTCCCATCTCTGAATACATGAGACTTTTGGAGGACATTGTAGAGCTAAACCATATCATCAAGTGAAGATAATTTTACAAGAGTAGGAGATGCAGTAAGAGTTTTTTGAAAGCAAGAAGCCAGTTAGGATAATTTGAAGGTTTAAAAATGGGTAATTGATGTGATGGAGTTCTTAAGAGAATGCAGGACATTTGTAAAGCAAAATACGCCAGTGGCTATTGCTTGGAAAGAGAGGTAGAGATGCTAGAAGTGGAACTCTGTGGCTTACTGCCCAGGAGATAATCCTATGGAGCCTGGTGATACAGTAGCTGAGAAAGGCGCAGGCAAAGACCACCAGGGCAGTTTGGCACCTAGTGGTATGCTGTTTCAAATTGTTTAGAAAGGAGAATAGAGTAATATGGACATGTAGTTTCCTGCTATTTTGCTTATTAATGAAGCAATAAATTAGTCAGCCTGTTATTACTGGAAACTTTCCAAGTATTCAGGTATCTGTTGAAAGTATTGCAAAATCCAGAAAAAGACATCTAAGTCATAACTCTGTCTTGTCTGTATAGTTGGGGAAAAAAAGAACATGGTACAGCAGCAACAGAGAGTGACAAAAACCAGATAATCTGGTCTACAAAAACCCTAATACCTATCTGAAGTAAGTTTGGGTTTGAGAATGCTGCCTTTTAATAGAAATTTTGCAAGCAGTACTGTGAAAAATGTCCAGAGTAAGAAAAGATACAATAAACTACTCGATAAGAGAAATGAACTCTGGTAAAAGTAATAATGGCTAGTGTTTCTTTGAACTCACTTTATTCAGGCACTACTTCATCCTTTTTCCTGCATTAAACTAATCCTCATAAGAATCCTACAAGAAAAAAAGTATTTTCACTGCCATTTTATGGGTGGATAAACTGAGGCACTAGCTGATGAATTTGTTTAAGGCTACATGGATGGTTGTGAGTCGCTAAGCCAGGACTGTTATCTGGGAAGTCTCACTTTAGACTTGGCTTAATCATGGTGCCAGAGTAACTTCTTGAATGTAAGTGATAAAGCTACTGCTTTCTGTGGAGCCCAACAACCTTGAGAGACTGGGTAGCTCTGAGCAGAATTTTTCTGGTCAAAGTCATGTAAGAGACATCAGAGATAGAATCCTAACTCAAACTAAAGCAAAACAATGGATGCACTTTGTAGACAGTCTTTGAACCAACTTTGCCCTGTCATCAGTACTTCCATGTTTAGACTCCAGGATCTTGAGCTCCAGAAGGCAGGATGTTTGCCACTTAAGATTTTTACCCCTGCAGTTGCTGCATTGTCAGTGCGAGGAGAAGGGGAATGTCCTTCACTTGTGGTGCAAGGAAAAGAAAATGACTTGGTTTAGGAGCAGACATTGGGAATGAAGGTGAAGGGCTTGGAGTTACAGACAGACCAAAAATCTGTAGCATCCTTCACAGATAGATGCTGTAGTCATCATATATATAGTGTTGTTTTGATATAAAAGAGGGTGTTTTTATCCTGGGTTTGGTGGCACACACCTGTATTCCCAGCACTCAGGAGGCTGAGGCAGGAGGATCATCATGACTTGAGGTGAGCCTTAGCTACATAGTGAGTTAGTGAGCTCAAAGCCAGCCTGAATTACATACCAAGACCCTGTCTCAGAACAAATTAATAAAATGCACATGCATTTCAAAGTGTTACCAGTACTCCTGGCAAGCGCAAGGTCGTGAGTTCGGTTCCTGGTACCGGAGAAAAAAACCAAAAAAAAAAAAAAAAGTGTTACCAGTACAAAATTCATGGTACTTTTTGTCATGAATTTTAAGTAGTATGTACATAAAAATAATTATTATCACAAAGTGAAGGAAACAGTGTGAACATTTTTTAAACATAAAAAGCTCTTTCATACTTGGAAAGGTTGGAAAACATTTTTCTAGCACAGTAGTTTCCAAATTCTTCAGTGCTTCCATAACTAAAAATAAAACACTCTCCATACACGTATATTTATTATAAAGTGTGTACAACAGTATTAATATGCGATAAAATATTATAAATAGTTATAAAGTAGAAAAAAATAGGATAAAAAAGACAGCACAGATGTTTTGATTTTTTTCCTTACATCTTTTGACGTCTTACATACCTCCTAGGGAGAGTATACACCCTACTTTGGAGACCAGGCTGGATTCTGGAAAGGTGAAAGGAGAGATTTTCCCCTTCGGGCTTACTTTAAAGTATAATAAACAGTTTTAAGTCAAGGTCCTTGTTAAGTTTGCTTAGGCTCCATTGGTCATGAGTTCAACTTTTCATTAGAAGGGCCTCGTGTGGGGCCTGGGAGTCAAGAAACTATTTAATTAATTAGCTGCTGAGCTTAGAGGAAAAGTATTCCTCCAGGAGAATTCACACCAGCCCCAGGCACTTTGGCAGGGAAGAGGCAGGCTGGAAAAGCCTTGGGGACCTTCTCAGAGCTGCTTTCTCAAATATAGTTGTTTTCCTTTCCCTTCAGGAGTGCTGTGTTTGCTGATGTGAGGCATTTTTTCTTTTCTTCTCTTTTTTGGTTGTTGTTGGGGTACTAGGTTTTGAACCTAAGGCTTTGCACATGCTAACTAAGTGTTCTACAACTAAGCTACATTCCCTATCCCTTTCCAAAATTTCTTTTATTTTGAGCTGGGCATGCTGTTGCATACCAGTGATCTCAGCATTCTGAGAGGCTGAAATGGAAGTTTGAGCCCGGCCTGGGCAATTTAATGACTCTATGACACTGTCTCAAAATAAAAGAGAGTTGTAGCTCAGTTCAAAAGCTCTGTGTTTAACACCCAGCACTGAAAAAAATATATATCATTTTGAGATGGCCTAACTACTGTAAGTCGCCCAGGTTGGCCTGGAACTTATGATTGTCCTGCCACAGCCTCTCCAGTCGGCTGGGATTCTGGTGTGGTCCTGTAATGGTGCATGGGGCCTTGCAGTGCTTCTCCAGGTTCACCTTTCTTCTCCTAAGCCCCCAGGAAGTCATCTGATTTTGGTTGCTGCACTCCTCCTCATTGGTTGTGGAAAATAGCATATTTGATCAAAAGATTCCACTCCCTACTTTGCTGTCTTGGTTTGTAAAGTAGTAATCCTAGCTTCTGATATCCTAGCAGAGAGTTATTAGTTGATAATATATTTTTTTTTTGTCTTTTTTAGACAGGGTCTTGCTCTTCAGTTCAGGCTGACCCTGAGCTCACTTTGTAGCCCAGGCTGGTCTTGAACTCACAGTGATCTTCCTGCCTCAGCCTCCTGAGTGCTGGGATTACAGGTGTGCACCACCACGCCCGGCGATAATTTATTTTTCCCAACTTATAAAAACTCCCAAATATCTGATAGATCAAATCCAACCTGCTCACTTTGTCATCTGCTATGGTCTGAATGTCTCCTTCCCCCCCTGCCCCCTTCCCCAAGGACACAGCTAGAAAGCCCAATTAGATGACTACGACTTGACCTTGCACTTCCCAGGCTCCAAAACTTTGAGAAACAAGTATTCATTCCTTACACTTACCCAGTGTTTTGGGTACTGTGTTATCATACCACAACAGAGAGGATCCAAGGCTTGGTTTTACATGTCCAAGCATACTTCGTGTATCATTAAATTCAAACTTCTCCTCAGGCTAGTCTTCTCACTTCCCTTCCTAACACTCCCACAGCCGTGCAGCCTTGTGCACACATGTGCACATGTGCTGGTGTACATACACACTGGCACACTTGCTTATTCTGTTTTTCGTGGACATAGGCTGTTTACTCCAAATGGAAACCCCGCCACTTCATACCCACTCTTTAAAAACAAGATGGGTCCCACTTCATCTATAAATATTTTACTTCTTCAGTGCTTCTTCAGGTGTGGCCCTCAGGCAGCCCTCATTAATATCGCCTAAGAGAACTGTGAATTCTTGGCTTCCAACAAGTGAGACCTTGTTGCTCCCTGTAAATGTAAATTCTTGGTTTTTACCCCAGTGCTTATAAACAGTAACTACTGGAAACGAGGCCCAGGAATCTACACGGGGCAGTTTGAGGGGCACTGTTATCTGCTGGGCTACGGCCTAGAACACAGCCCCCTTTCTAACCAGAGTCCATCTCTCCTCAGTTAAGACTATGGAAAAGATGTCTCTCTACAGAGACTAATTGGCTTCAGGCTTAAGCCTTTGCTGCCTTTCATTGTTGTGAATGAAATTACAGTATTAATGAGGTCCTCCACCTTCAGACTTCAAAAGCAGCTCATTTCAAATTATCCCAATTGCCATGGATTTGCACCCATGCTGTGAAACCATTGTGGAAAGGCCAAAGACAAGACAAGCTGTATGGAGTGGAGTTAGGACTGTGGAGTGAGGAGTAGAGGTGCAGTGGGCCTGCTTGGCAGGTGTGACTGTGTTTACTGGTCCCTGGGCGCCTGCAGGAAGAGAGCTGAGGGTGAAAGTCAGCCATGGTTGTAGTGTAATTGAACAGAAGTAGGGTAGTATGTCCTCTGCAGACCTTTCCATTTTCTTCAGGCCTTCTTGCCCTTTTTCAGTCAGAAAAGGGGAAAAGACATGAGTTAGGCTAAAAAATGAGGAAGTTGTACAATACACTGTTTGTTCCCAAGTTTACCTCTGTTAAATAAATGAAGAGCATAAGTGCCCAGGAATACCAGCCTCTAGTTGGAAAATAAGGAGAAATCCCTACCAATTCTGTCTAGTGTTCCCTTTGTCTTTTTACTGAGGAGTCTCACTGCGGTAAGAAATTGTATTCTTGTGTGTGTGTGTGTGTGTGTGTGTGTGAGAGAGAGAGAGAGAGAGAGAGAGAGAGAGAGAGAGAGAGAGAGAGAGAGGAGAGAGAAGAGAGAGAAGAGAAGAGAAGAGAGGAGAGGAGAGGAGAGGAGAGGCGAGGAGAGGGAGAGAGAGAGAGAGAGAGAGAGAGAGAGAGAGAGAGAGAGAGAGAGAGACCAATTAGTACCACCTGCTTCATTTTTGATTGAAAAAAAGTCCCAGATGGAAATAATTGCCTTCATAAGCCCTATGTTTATAGAATGCCTTTGCAGAAAGCTCATAGCACAGCACTCTGTAGAACAACCTAGTTTGTTCCTGGATTATCTCCATGTGCATAGTAAAGAGCAGCTTCTAAAACCATTGTTGTGCTTTGCTATTTGGAGGAGAAGGAAGCTTTATGGCTTGAAAGGGTCAGATGGCACTAGCAGCAGAGTTGAAAAGGGGACATGCAGGTTCCACTCCTTTCTCTATCAGTGATTTCCAAAATGAGGCCCACAGACTGTTTCCAGGAGGGCTTGCACAAGGACCACTTGTGGGATTAAAATAGGAATCCCCAGACCCCATTCTTCTACTTTATTCCTCCAAGTTGGTAGGCCTAGGGTGGCGCCCAAGAATCTATATTCTTTACAAGCATTCCACATAACTCTGGTTCACAGCCAAACTTGGAAACCAATACTATAGACAATCAGAAATGTCCTTGACTGGAACATGCCTTTTTAATATCTTTCTTCTTGCTGCTCACTCTGTAACTTCTGCAGGCCTCCCAGCTCAAGCCAAGAAACATGCTGAATCCGCCAAGAATACACTCTTGATGTGGAAGGGAAAAACAACCTCAAACAAGGAGAAAAAGGAAATCCTAGAAGCTCTGGTCATGGTCCACTACACTCTAGGGGTGGCCTGGTTCCTACAGAACCGATATCCTTTCCTTCCCAGATGGGTCTGGTGATCAAGGTTATAGGCCACACTTGCTAGGTGGGTCATCTCACATGGGAGAATAGGAGATGAAACCATGCTATTGTGGCTGTATTCCAACACTGCAGGCCTTCCACATACTTATATCCACCTAGGAAGGTATGCATTTTTGTCCTGTGTCTGTTCATGTAAGCCCTGAGTTAAGCCCTGGGAGGGAGTTAATTAGTAACATATTCCCTAGCCAGTTGAAAAATTTCCAAGTCTGACCAAGTCGTCATTGAGCACCCAATAAAGTTAATATTAGTGGTGCAGGTAGTGGTAGGGGTAGCATAGGACTGTAGATCAAGTGGTAATTTAGAGCAGAGTGTGATAGAGTAGGCTGTACATTGTGATTCCCTAGGGAGCTTTAAGAATTACTGCTGTATAGGTCCTACCCCAGAGATTTTGATTTTGTAGGCCCCTAGGTAATTGTAATGTGCAGCCCAAAACCACTGATTTAATAAATTCTTGATCATTTCAGTTTAGTTTTTTAAAAAATGCTATTGAGAACACTGCCTATGAAGCAGGAAGCCAACCAAAATAGCCAAAAAGAAGCAGTTCTATATTACCTTCAAGGGGCATATGGAATAATGCCTGTGTGGGTCAGCTTTCTATCACTATGGCAAATACCTAAGATATTCAATTTTATAAAGAGAGAACTTGTATTTGGCTCACAGTTTTAGAGGTTTCAGACAACGATATGTTGGCCCCTATACTTTTGGGCCTGTGGCAAAGCAGTGCAACCTGGTGGAGCACATAGCAGAGCAAAACCCCTCACTTCTTTGCCACGGCCAAGAAAGAGAAGAGGAAGGGGAGGCGATCACACCCTCTCCCTTAAGGACACACTCCCAGTGACCCCATAAAGTTTCCAGCACCTCCCAGTAACACTATGCTGCAGGCCGAGCCCTTACCACACGGACATTTGGGAAACCCTAGCACCCAGACTTATGGTAGTACCTTTGCTTGAGAAATTTGTAATCTTGATAGCCTTTTGATGTTGTCACCACTTGAAAGATACTAGTGACATTTCATGTTCAGTCATCAGGAGCACTTCTTGCCCATTTGTGTCCAATCTCTTCTCTCTACACATTCCCCCTCTACTTTTTTGGTTCTGCTGCTGAACTTCCAACATGTGATGTGGCCTTCCCCATTATGCTCTTAGCAGGGAGTCTATGAAAAATGTGGGAAATAGAAAGATATTTGGAAATTGAGGGGCTTTCTTTCCTGCTATTTGCATGTGGCCAAAAACCTACTCCTTTTGGATTTTTAAAAGTGACCCAGAAAGTCCCTTTCAGCATAATTAGTTCCTTTCCTTTACCATTATTACAAACAACTTGGGAAAAATAGGTAACTGCTGTCATGCAGTAGATGCCGCTGATGGAATTGTAACTTAGTTTCCGTTCACCCCTGCAAACCCTCAACATCCACTCCAGACACGGATGCAGACAAGCGCTAAAAGAAAGCTAAGGCCTTGTTCTTTATCCAGAGAGTTATTCTTTCTTGACACACACACATGGAAACTAAAGAATGTAGCTAAGTATCCATTTTCAAGTACTTCTTTATTTTCCCAAATGGCCATTTTGTTTGCATATCACCTGTCCCTATGCAGTGGCAGTTAATTCATGTGCCTGGGATTTCCTTTGACTCTTTCACTGGCAGAGAGGCCTATTTCAACCTGCAGAAGGCAGACAGAAACATGAAGGAGCTGAAAGAACTGAATAAGGGAGATGTTTGTGAATTCCAGGTCTCAGAGAAAGACCTAACAATTGCATTGGGCAGGTAAGATCTGGGTATAGCAAAACTGAAGCTTTAGAGATGAGGCCTGGAGTTACATGATGTTCTGTACTTTCTATCTGAGGGTAGAAAACTATTCAGAGTAAAAAAGCAAGAAACTCAAAATGGTAATAAAAGACACTCGTATTTATCAAGTGGATACTCTGCGGCAAACTTCCCTGTGCACTGCTGAACTTAATCTTCGTCATTGATATAGTTAGCATGGTTCTGATCACATTAAAGAGAAGGCAAAGAGGCTGAATCCAAGGTTAAACAAACTGTCCAAGGTGACCTGTCTTAGAAGTGTTAGATCTATTATCTGAACTCATTGACCTTAACCATTCCTTGTAGTGCCTCTCACTTCTTCTATGACTGATTATGTTATTTTCTGAATTGGGTACTACTTTTTCCCATCTGAAGAGTATGACATGTTAGCAGTGTGACATCATAAGAGATATAGAAGGAACACTTAATGGATATGATAAATTGGAAGCCAGGAAAGCTACACATAGCACATGTGTTGTTAAGAAAAGTTCTGTTCTGTATAGAAACAAAATTCATGGAATTTGTTCAAGATAGAACAAGACTTAACTGTTTTGCAGTTGAGTTAGGGATCCTCTGAGAATCGGAATATTTAGGAATGAGATTGGGCCTATCAGGTTATTAGTGAAAAAAATAATGAAAAGTTTACTGTTCCCTAAATTTTTCAAATAGCTTCACATCCTTGAAATCAGTCTGTTTCCAAAACTGTAAGCACTTGGCATGTTAGAGCCAATGACTGAATGGTGCATAAATGAAATACATGCATCATGTCTGTCTCCGCTAAACAATAGTGAATCCTCAAGTCAAATGGGAAATGGTGGGGAGTTGTTGGAATGCCAGAGCTAAATCAAACCATTGACTTAAATCCATAGGGTCATAAGTTAGAGTCTGGTGAATGTCTAAGGCTGTCACGCAGGGCAGTGGTTAGTTTTTCTGCCTTATGTGAAAGAAAGCCTTGTTCCTTTGTGAGAAGGAATTCTAGTGCTTATTTCACTCATTCATTTCATGACATGTATTGAGTACTTATTTTGTGCGTGCACTGCTCTAAGTGTCAGATGCTAATTAACTTTAACTACTTACTAGACACCATTCTAAGTATTTTCATAACTTATTTTATTCAATCCTTCCCTTAGCCTATGAGGATATTTTTTATTATTGTCTGTTTTACCGATAACAAAGTTAAGGTACAGAAAGATTAACGCATGGTGACAGAACTAATAGAAGAAAGAGTTAGGCTTTTAACCGGAGCATCTGAATTCATCACTTACTTTCTATACTGCACCGAGTGATGTTTGATATTGACCAAATATCTAGTAAGCGTAGGTACTTTTATTCATTTTGAGGGTAGGGAATCTAAAGTAAGAATATTCAGATCAGACAACTTGCCAGTTCATCGCTACAAGCTCTTAATGAGAGCTGTTATCATTCTGTAGTTCCGCTCTTATGGTGAAGGGAAATAGTGTTCTGATTGATCAATATTTTAACAAAGAATTATAACATGGTAGTGTTCTTTTCATTATTAATCCTAATCTTTAAGGAAAGGAGAAACTTCCCAGTTTTAAAAAAATGTGACTATTGCTAAAATGACTTGGTGAAGTAAGTTTTAAAACTTCAACTTGAGAATACAAACATGGGGCAAAGGGAAAGAAGAAAGTAACCCTGATTGTGTATTTACTATATGTTGGGTGATTTTACATATTTGATCTTCACATCAAGGTTGTAGTTTAGATTGGCTTAGTTGTGCCTCATCTGCAAGGAAATGTTGGCCCCTGGAGTTTGATAAACTAACTCTCAGAATAAGCTGTGAACTCCCCGTGTTTTTCTTGATGTGCTTTGCTATTTCTAGAAAGATAACCACAATAAGATACTGTCTAAAAAGTTATGGTCTTGGTTTTGTTGGGGAAAATTTGAAAATTCAGACGTCTGAAGAAAAAAATAAAAGCAACAGCTGTCACTATCCAGACATAATTGCTGTGAACATTTTGGCTGTCTATCTCAGTATAATATTTTAAGTAGTCTTATATCTTCATTTCTCATTTAGCACATTTTGAATACCTCTCCATATTAATATTAAAATAAAACCCAGTTCTACAAAGCATTTTCCATAATTTATTTAGCCACCCCTCCTTTGGAGAATAGTTACAGTGTTTTCTCTGTCTTTTCTCATCTAAACTAAGTCAAATAAAATAAAACAAAACAAAAACTTTCTTGAGCTTGAAAGGCAGAAAAACAGAGGTAATACAATTTTATTTTGATTTTAGAGAGTCTGTGTTTATGAGTAAATTATTCAGCTTTGTGACTTGCTGGCTACCATTTTTTTGCCATTTACTTTTATATAAAACTTAAATGACAGCACAACCTTTATTAATGGATTAAATGAATGCTAGGCAACGAAATCTGGTGGGTAAAATACAAGGTCATGGGAGTTTATTTATAGTGAGACCAGATTTTGAGCCAGATGTGTGGGCTGCAAAAGCCAAATTCTTTGGGTTTTAGGATTAATTCTTATGAGCCTGCAAAGTAAGTGACTTCTCTGTGACTTCCTTTCTTTTCTTGTAGAGCCTCCTTGGGTATCCGCAGGTTGAACCTAGCTCTGGCATATTTTGAAAAGGCAGTTGGCAGTGTTATCGCTGCCAAGGGTGATGGAACATCAGATCTGATCAGTCTGTATGAGGAGATTGCTCAGATAGAGCAGCTGAGGAGGAACCACAAGCAGGCCATCCAGTACTTGAAGCAGGTTGGTGAGCTGCCAGAATCCAGGCAGAGTGGCCTTGTTTGCCCCAGTTCCAGGGGTCAGGGAAGTTCTCACAACACAGGGTGGGAATGGTTCCATTGTAACCCTAACTTCCCTCTACATCCCTGTAAATACCCATCAACAACTTTAAGTGACGTGGACAAAGAACGCTGGTTCAGGTGAACATTACTGTTGTGTGATCTCATTAGCAGACAGCGCTACCCCACCCAGGTTTCTTTCCCATCACTCTCAGTGCTGAGAAGAGGAAGCCAAGTGTGAGTGTACTTCAAGGAAAATCTCATCAAGGCAATTGAACTTGTCTTCAACAAACACAAAGAGGCATTTAACCTGAAATTTTTATTTTGGTACAATGCTGTCATTTGTCCATTATAGTAAGCCAGCTGGTTGTGTTTCCAAGTCTAAGGTTAAACTAATGAAAGGGTGTTTCACTTGGAGATAAATGACTTGACAATGCTCAGGGGAAAATCAACAAAGCATAGGAAAGAATGTTGAGTCTATCGTATGAGACCAGTTTAAGGCACCTTTATGTAGCATGTACTTCAAACTGCTAGGTAAATACACATTGTTTCTCTTCTAAATAAGAAAGCTGCTTGTGGCTTCAGGTATTGTCCATGGCCACAAACAGGACAAAATGTTTCCTGTAGCATAGAAAACTTACTCCAAACCGTCTGACAGTGCAAGACTGTAAACATCACGCAATGGAGAAACGCCAGGGAATGCTGCTCTCAAGGCAGCACTCCAGTGCTTACAGAGAAAGCAGTATGGGTTTTGAGTTCAGTTCTTTCTGAAAGCAGTGGTAAGGTCAGAATGGATAAAACAATAAATATCAGTGTTTTCCAACAGCAGCAAAAATCACAAGTTGAAATTTATGGAATGTTTTTATGAAGTGCACTTGAGGATATGTTAATTCATTTAATCCCTATAAAAGCTCTATGGAGGGCCTATTATCAGTTTTATTTCATGTTAAGGTAAAGTGAAGCAGAAGCAGTTATAGCTAATTCAGCTGAAGTTGTGCAGTAACAGGTGTGAAAGCAAGGATTTAGTCTCAGAAAATCTGATCATAGAGCCTATACTTACAGCAACTCTACTCTGTCTCTCGCCTCTAAAGTGTTGTCTGATAGCCCATTAGGCCTTGAAACACCTCACAGTTTGGCCTATGAAATGTTAAATAGGGTGGCTTTCTTGCTGTTGGGTTTGGACTAGATATTTTTTACTTTTCTTTATCCTTTCTAAGTGTTAATTTCTCCACTTGAGCACAAAAAAATAATAAAATTTTGTATTTCTTTAGTGCTTACTACTTGCCAAGTGGTGTTTTAAACATTTTACATAGATTCATAATATTTACAACAGGTGTTTGTGACTTACACTATTTTCATCATCCCTGTTTTGCATTTGAAGGGGTTAAGTGACCTACCTTATATCACAGTAAGTGGCTGAGTTTTGATAGGAATTCCGGTAGTATAACTCTGGGAGCCATGGTTTATAACTGTCTTTAATACCAAACTCTTGAGAGGCTGAGCTAAGCTTTTAATTTTATTTTTGCTGTGAAACCTGGTAAAAATAATATTATCTAACGTTTATTAAGAACTTAGCATGGAGTGGGTACTGTGCCCAGTGCTTTGCATACACATACTCATTTCATCTTCCTAAACTCTAATCAAGTAGGACCCATGTATTTCTTCGATAATATGGTGAAAGTAGTTGCTCAAAACTCATAGCTAGGAAGTAACTCCTCTGGGACTCAAAATCATTTGTTACGGTTTAAATATGAAGTGTCCCCAAAAACTCAGGTGTTGATGGTTGGATTACGAGTGCAGCAGTGTTCATGAAGACATTAATCTCATCCCTGGATTAGCCCATTGATGAATTTGTAGCTGAATGGGTTATTAGGAGGTAGGGCCCAGCTGGAAGAAGTAGGTCACTGGGCAGTGTGCCTTTGAAAAGGTTGAAGGGCATATCTTGTTCTAGACCTTATTCTCTCTCTCTCTCTGCCTGTCTCTCTCTGTCTCTGTCTTTCTGTCTCTCTCTGCCTCTTTGTCTCTGTCTGTCTCTGTCTCTGCCTCCCTGTCTCTCTCTCTGTCTCTGTCTCTCTGTTTCTGTGTCTCTCTGTCTCTGTCTTTCCCTCTGGCTGTATTTCTGTCTCTGTCTCTGTCTGTCTCTGTCATCTCTGTCTCTCTTTCTGCTTACTGGCCACATTAAGGTGAGCATCTTTTTTCTAACCTCCCCTTCCACCACAACGCTTCTGCTGTGCCTCAGCCTAAAGCAGTGAAGCCAGCCAAGCAGGGACTGAATTCTCTGAAACCATGAGCCAAAGTAAATCTTTCCTCCTTTAAATTGTTGTTGTTTTCAGGTATTTAGTTGTAGCACTGAAATGCTAATGCATCATCCTTCATCTAATTCCCTATGTTGGCTCTCAACCAACTAGCAATTCTGTGAAAGCGACTAGAAAATCCACAGTGAGAGTCTATCATTTGGGTAGCTGCCTTGTCATTATTTTCTTTTTTTCCAGGCCTATTCTATCAGTGTTTCTTCATTCACTGAAATCAGCCGCCAAACTGCAGAGGTGGGCGCATTATTAGCCAAAGCTTATGCCATGTCTGGAGAGCCCCAGCACAGTGGTAGGTAGAAGAAGTTTCTTTGCAGTTTTAATTTCCCAGTGACCTATGGAAAGCATATTAGTGAATGATGGTTTATAAGTAAGGTTATAGTTTGTGCCTGTTATAGAAAGATTAAGCTAGTTATGATTTTGTATAAAATCCATTACATACTGACTTGGAGCTGGTAGTATCCCCCAAATTAGTCGGAGCATCAGAACCAAGAAAATCATCTGTTTTTCCCTTTATCCCCTCTAATCTCAGCAAAATTCACATTTGTAAAAAGTATACATCGTATACACTATGAACATGACTTGTGATATGTGGGTTGGTGAGGAAATCCAGTGATTCAAAAAGAAAGCATTGGCTCCTCCTCCCCTCTTCCTTCACTCTCAATCCCCTTGACTCTTCCTCTGGGTTACAAGAAATAATGTTTGCAGCAGTTAGAATTTTTTTGACTTATATTCAGAGTGAAGTACTGGAAAGTCTAGAGGAAAGCCAAGTGATTAATTTGTCATTCAACAATAGCCCTTTGTCTGGCAAGGTCATGTTTTTGAAGTGAGTGGCTTGGGAGAGATATAAAGGAACTGGTGAGGGAAGGATGTATCGTCCCAAGCTGGCTTGATAGGATTAATGGGCACTGATAGAGTTCATGCCCTGTTAGGAAGAATATAGGACTTAGGAACAAAGCAATTAGAACATGGTTAAAATATCTCTTTTCTCTGGTTATGAAACAGTCCATTTTAGTGATGTTATTTGCCAGTTATAGGGAGGAGAAGGAAAGAGGGAAAGAGATTTATAGAGAATGTCTTACATCCCACTTTTTTCCATTCTTGTATTCCCCATGTTAAGCTTTTTTCCAGTTTGCAGAAGTTTAGGCATTTTGTTGGACATTTATTGTTTTCTTAAATAGGAATGTTCATTGAAGACTTTCTGATTGTATCATCTAGTGAGCTGTTTTCTCCTTTTAAAATTTCCTTTTTGTATGCTCACACTATATGTACTTCTTATGTACTATATTGTACTTCCTGTATACTAGAGGTAGACTGTGTTTGTTTTTATAAGAAATTTAATACATTTATAAATATGTAGAGTATTTAGCTTTTTTATGTGAGAAAAAAACATAATCTTGGGAGATTACAAAGACTTCCTTATCTTTTTCTTGCATATTAATTTTTAATGTTAAAGAAAAAATACATTTATCTTTAGGTCATATTATTCATTAAATTACAGATATATTAAAATTTTGTACATCAAAATTTAAAATATGTCAGCCAGAAGAAAATGTATCTCTGGAATAGAAATTATTAAAATTAAAAATTGGAAGACAATTTTAAAGCACACAAAGCTATACCATGAAAGACAAGGTTAACAGATTAAATTACAAAAAAGTGTAGAACAATGTCTATCACAAAGCTCTGTATGTAAAATTAAAAACAACTCAGCCAGTATGAAGGGGTAACCTGAATAGATCCTTACCTTTGAAAGAAAATGAATTTGTAGTTAACCTACCACAAAATCTCCAGGTCCAGATGATATCATTGTGGAATTCTACCTAATAGGTATTTAAGAAGGAATAACACAAATTCTACCTAATCTCCTCCAGAAAATACAAGTGAAGGGAGCTCTTCCTAACTAACTTTATGAGGCCAGCATTACCCTTATACCAAAATTGGGCAAATACATTACCAGAAAGGAAAAAAACAAACAAGAGAAATATTACATACAGACCAATATTTTCATGCATGTGGAAAAATCCTTAATAAAATATATTGTAATATATAGAAAAGAATAATATACCATGAACAAGTAAGGGTTTGTTTCTTTTGCTCAAAAATATCAGGCTGCTTTAGTATTCAAACTTTAGTCAATATCCTTTACTGTATTTATAGACCAAAGTTGAAAAATCACTGTCCTTATCAATTGATGTAGAAAAAGCATTAGGTAAAATTTAACATCAATTCATGATGGGAAGGAATTTCCTTAATCCGATAAAAAGTGTGTTGAGAGACCTGACAGCTAACATTATACTTGATGGGAAAATATTCCTTAAGGTCAGAAGCAAGACAAGGATGTATGTTTTCACATTTCATATTCACAAATATTCACTAATTCAATAAGACAAGAAAAAGAAATATGGTTTAGGAAGAAATAATGTGGTCCCTACTTACAGAAAACATGATTGTACCTACAGAAAATTCCAAGGAATGTTATAAATAAGAAGTAACATTAAATTGGGCCTATAAACTCAGTACTATGGGAGGCTGAGGCAGGAGGATTGGAAGTTTTGGAGCCCAGTCTGAGCAACTTAGCAATTTAAGAGGACCTTGTTGTAAAATAACAAAGGGGCTGTGGCTGCAGCTTATTGTAAAAGCCCTGGGCTCTATCCTCAGTACCACCACCAACAAAAGTGAGATCAAGCTTAGCAAGGTTATAGACTAAAAAGTCAAAATTCAGTTATATTTATATATAGTAGTAATGTAAAACTACAAGCAAAATTTTTTAGAAATACCACTTGCCAGGTGAAATACTTAGCTATACATCTGACAAAATACATGCAGGACTTGTGTGTTGTAGACTCCAAAACTCTGGTGAAAGAAATCAGAAATTACCTAAGTAAATGATCAGATATACTGTGTGAGGATTAGAATACATATGTATTTTCTTCCAAATCTGATCTGTGGAGTTAATATTATCACAGTTAAAATCATGGCAGGAATGTTTGTGAATATCAACAAGATTACTCTAAAATTTACATGATAAACCAAAGAAACTGGAATTGCCAACATGATTTTGAAAATTAAGGATAGAGCTAGAGGAATAATAGTGTCTGATTTTAAAATGTGTGATAGTAATCAAGAGAGAGTTGTGTTATTAAAGGGACAGACAAAGATGTCAGTGTCTTATCACACAAAAAAACCCACATGTAGGCCTATATAAGAAATTAATTTTGACAACAACAAAAATGAAATTCAGCAAAGAAAGGATAATCTTTCAAAAAAATGACATTAAAGCAATGGGATCTCCACAGGAGACCGTGGAAATGAAAGTACCATAGAAGGGCGAGACAGGATACTCCCCTTACTTAAATGCACATATATAGAAAGTTGTACACAGGCGCAGAGAACATGAGAGTCCAGTGGAAAGTAGCAACCAGGTGAGATTTGAAGTGCACTCCGACATCTACATCCAGATCACATGACAGGAGATAGACAGCATACACACGCAGAGGTATTTAAGTTTCTGCCCAAGTCAGTGGCTCAAAAGTAAGCTATTCCCTCTCAAGGGTTATCCCAGGAATCCAGACTAATACTGAAAAACATTAAAACCTGAGAAAATTATTTCTTGTTTCTGGTCTGACATGTAAAGGCCTTCGAAGTCACCATTAAGTCCTAACAACAAGTAAGAAGCAAACTGGAAAATGAACAACTCTCCCTAGATCTGCCAGAGAAGTGAGGTCATAGGGCAAAACAATACCCCCTGAATTGGAGGGATAGGCAAATCGCAGAGAAATGCAGAGCGCCAAAGTAGAAAGCTATCTTCACAGACACCAGTACCAAGGCAGGATCTAAACTGTAGGTGACAAAATGCTTGAAGATCAGTGTGGGAAAATATGAGATCTAAAAGGGATCTGCACACTTTTATGGGTTTTACCTCTAGGAGTTTGACTGGATTCTTAAAGTAAATGTTAGAGAAAAATTCACTCAAGCTTCTGTCAGGGAAGAGGAAAAGTAACCACTTCAAAATCTCTCCAGAACATTTGCTTCTTGACAAGGCCAGTTCTCCATAAAAACGTTTTTGTAAAACAAAATCCTTAACTATTGGATTTTTGAGAGCCTACTGACCCAGGAGAAGAGAAAATACCCAACTCCAGCTCCCTCTAGCCTTCTACACTGGAAAATGGAAATACCCAACTCCAGTCCACTTATCCTTCCTGTCTCCATTAAAAGGAGTGGGTAGAGCACTAGTAATCATTTGTAAAATTCACAGTCTAGAGGTAATGTATAGGCTGACTAGACTAAGACATTATCGTAGGACTATAGAGTACACCCTTACCCACCACACTATCCAAGGCTTACTTACTGTAGTTACTTTTACACAATAAATCATGTCCAGCTTTCAAGGAAAAATCAGAAGGCATACTAAAAGTCAAAAGACACCACTTGAAGAAACAGAAAAAGCTGAACCAAATTCAAATATGGCAGAGATGGAATAATTATCAGACCAAAAAGAAAAAGAACTATGACTAATATGTTAAAGATTCTAATGGGTAAACAAAAAGAAGTGGACAGTGTAAATACAGAGACTGAATACTGAGACTTAGCAAGAAATATTAGAGATCAAAACCATTGTAACAGACATGAGGAATACTTTTGATGAACTCAATAGTAGACAATATAGCTGAAGAAACAATCTCTTGAGATTTAGACTATCTCAATAGAAACTTCAAAACTGAAGAAGAGAAAAGAGATTGAGAAAAAGGAGAATGCAATATCTAAAACTTGTGGGACAACTACAGAAAGATACACAAAAAGTGTCAGTACAAGAGAAGAGAGAAAATAACAGAGGAAATATTTGAACAATAATGACTGAGAATTTCCCCAAGTTAAGATCAGACCTCAAACTGCAGATCAGGAAGCTCAAATAATAGTTCAATATTTAAAAATTGGTGAATGCATCAGACTAACAGAATAAAAAAGAAAAATCACATGATCATATGAGTATACGCAGAAAAAGCATTTGACAGAATCCCAGCACTCACTCTTGATGAAAACTTGCAAAAAAATAGGGATATAAGAGAATTCCCTCTACTAGATAAAGACAATTGCTATGGTTTGACTGTCCCTTAGAAGTTCATATTTTGAAAGCTTGGTCCCCAGTGTGGCAATGAGTAAGGGCTGGTGGGACCTAAAAGATGTGGGCCCTACTGGGAGGTTAAGGACCTAGTGGGAAGAAGTGCTGTCCTTGGAAGGAATTAATATAATTTTTGTATAACCCTGGTAGTTTTTGCAGAATGGTGATTATAAGACAGTAAGACTGGCTCTTCCCTGCTCTCTGGCTTCCTGTCTCATCAAATGATCTCTGTCTGTCTTGCTTCCATCATGGTGACAGCCACCAAGATAGGAATGCAGCCACGACAGCCCTTACCAGAGCCAGCACCATGTTGTTTGGACTTTCACCTCCAAAAAATAGGAGCTAAATAAACCACTGCTTGTAAAAAGCCTAAGGTACCCAGCCTTAAGTATTTTGTTATAGGAATAGGAAACAAACACTTAACAGCTGTTAAAAAAAAAACTGTAGCTAAGATCATTATTAGTGTTGAGAAAGTACAAGATTTTCACTGAGATCAGGAAAACTGCTTTTCAATATTATACTAGAAGTTCAAGCTAATACAATAAGATGAGGAAATCAAAGATCTACTGGTTTAGGAGGGAAGAAATAAAACTGGTTTGTTTGTAGATATTATTGTATAACTAGAAAATTTGAAAGAATCAACGAAAACAACAGCAAACCTCCTGGAGCTATAAATGATGATAGAAAGTGTGTAGGACATTAGGTTAACATACATAAGTCAATTGCTGTCCTATATACTGGAAATGAACAAGTATAATGTGAAATTAAAAAAAATACCTTTTAGATTAGCACTCAAAGAAATGAAAGAAGCATAATTAGTTAAATCTAATAAAATGTGCACCAAATATGAGAAAAACTACAAAATATAATGAAAGACATCAAAACACTTAACAGGTCATGTTCATAGATAAGAAAACTCAATATTGTCAAGATGTCACTTCTCAACTTGATCTACAGATTCAGCTCAATTCTGTACCAACAAGTTATTTGGTGGATATTGAATACATATTCTAAAGTTTATGTGAGAGACAAAAGATACAGCACACTCAACATAAGGAGAAAAACCAAGTTGGAAGACTGATAGCACGTCACTTCAAACCTTACTATAAAGCCACAGTAATCAAGAAGTGTGGGATTTCATCAGTAATAACTGTATATTTAAAGTGCTCACAATTCATTCATTCTGTGAGAGAGAGAGATGTGGTAGAGAGAGAGGAGAGAGAATTTCAGTAAACAGTGATCCATATCAGAATTTCAGCTAAAAATATAGTCTTGCAGCGCAGCTAGGAGTTTAATATGGCACTTAGTTTGGTTCTTTCAATAATAAAATTATTCAGACAGAAGCTTTCCTTTCCTACACGAAAACCATGAATTTCATCGAGAGAACATCTGATACTATCAGATCATGTCATGGACTTTTTCAAGGACCCTGTGAGACCTGAGATAAGAGCAAGCATGGACCTTAACATAAGAGTATCAGTTGATCCTAAGAGGGTATCAGACAGTTGTGAAGGCTATCAGCTTGCCTTAAATATTTTTTTTTCCAGAAGCTGTTGAGGTATATTTCATAAAAAGTATCAGTGCCTATCAAGCAACACTGGGCACAAAGAATTGTGAAACATTAACCACCATTGAAGAATTTTGTAAATGGCTTACCCAAACTGGGAAAAAACAGGTAAATATGTCTAACTCATAATTACTAGTTTATTTATTAGATCTGAGCAACCTTCTTTCATATCACGATTCAGACACTGGAAGTGAGACAAATCCTGGGTAAAACTAGAAATAGCATACCGGGCTGGTAATGGGTGGGACCTTAGTAAAAAAGTATTTTTCTTGGATCTTGGTACATGAAATCCTTTCTGTCCAGGACATAGTAAACTCTAACTGATTAATTTAATACTTTAAGTAAAAATTGGCTTTTGAATATAGCTACCAACATTTTTTCTTTCATAATGGTGTTTCCCTCTGACATTCTTATTAGGCAAAATTTTGTTTGCACATTATAAAAAGTTGTAGAGCTACAAGAAAGGTGATATTGTAAACACAGTAGTGAACTGAGATACTACTGTGTTTACAATATCACCACAGTAGTACCTCAGTTCACAAACTTAATTCTTTCCATGATTCTGGCTGCAAACCAAATTGGACAAGAACTGAATCAAATTTCCCCATAAAGTCAACATTGACCCTAACCATTGAATTTGATCAATTTTCATCCATTTTAGTTTGCGACCAGAATTGTGGAAAGAATTAAGTTTGTGAACCAAAGTACCACTACATTAACATACAAAAGTCTAACAGTGTAATACGCCAGTTTAACAAAGGATAAAAATCATTCAGACTGGCCTGGACTCACTGTGTAGCCCAGCCTGGTCTCAAATTTGCGGCAGCCCCCCTGCCTCAGCCTCCTGAATGTTGGCATTACGGGGATGCTCCACCATGCCCAGCTGAAAGCTTTTACTTTTAGATCAGGAACATGACAGAGATGACCAGTTTCACTGGAAGTATTGGCCAAATCAATAAGGCAAGAAAACAAAAGCATCCAAATAGGAAAGGAAGAAGTAGAATTATCTCTGTTTGCAAAGTGATATAGTATTATGTAAAAAAACTAGATTCCATGCATAAAATATCTATTAGATAAATTCAGCTAAGTTACAGGAGACAAAATAAACATACAAAAATCAGTTGCATTTCTGTGTACTAATAATGAACAATTTGAAAAGGAAAGTAAGAAGCCAATACCATTCATTTTTTTGTTTTGTTTTGTTTTATTTTCCAGTACTGGGAATCGAACTCATGACCTTGCGCTTGCCAGGCAGGTGCTGTGCCACTGGGCTAAGTCCCCAGCCCCTGTTTTGTTTTGTTTTTTGTTTTTTGTTTTCCAATACCATTCATAATAGCATCAGAAAGAGTAAAAATAGAAAAAAATTTATCTAAGGAGTTAAAGACTTGTATACCAAAAAAATAAACAGGGAAATAATCTAATTGTATGCAAGTTTTCCTCCTCTGAAAAATCCAAGATATTATAGAACCTTGAGATGCTTGAATTTTTAGCTGTCTGGAAAGCAGCAATTGGGATCTTTTTTGTACTTGTTGTTCAAGGTGGCATCAAAGGATGATGATTACATGTCCAAATTCATTCTGAAGACATGTTGTGTTAATATGTGCCAACATAGATAGCACAGGCATTGTAATGTGTAGTCTTCAAGGTACAGCAATAACTAAAGCTCTTCACTCATAAATAATTTCCAAGCTCACTGATGTAAAATTTACTGAGTGATAATATTACTGTAGTTATACAGTATAGAAAATTTTCTTGTTCTAAGAAGACATGTTCTTAAGTATTAAAGTATCTTGATGACTATAATTTACTTTCAGTAAAGCTTATATGTATATATGTATTCATCTTTATATATGTGTGTATATTTTTTAAAAGGGAGCAAAATGATATGGTAGCCATTTGTGAATCTAGGTGAATATTTCCATATTCATTCTACTATTCCAGTGTTTCAGAAGGTTTGAAAAAACTTTAAATAAAAAAAAAGAAGAAGAAAGGCCAGGGATATAGCTCAGTGGCATAAGTGCCTACCTGGCAAGTGCAAGGACCTGAGTTCAATTTCTGGTACCAAAAAAAAAAAAAAAAAAAAAGAAAAGAAAAAGAAAAGAAGACCAAGAGCTGTGGAATTCAGAATTCTGTTGTTTGAGTCCTGACACTGCCATCTATCTACAGGTTGTATGATCTTGGTCAGGAGTCTTAGCTTTAACTTGTCCTTTCTTAACCCTTCACCTGAAACATAAGTATAATTCCTATCTCATAAGACAGCTAGGAAGATTACATAGTAATAACATACATATGCATTAAGTTATTTATTCTTAGCTTGGAACTTCGATTCTTAACAGAAACACACTGTCTTAGGTGATACGTCATAAGTGACAGATCCTGGTAGGTTCCATCAGTTGTGCCATAGAGAGCCTCCCCCGTGGGCACAGAACCTGCTCACTCCTGTGGAATTGCCAGGTTGATTTTAAAAAGAACTTTTGTTTTTAATCCCCTAGGAGGCTTACAGACTGCTAAAGGCTTCACTGAAGTCCCAGGTCATCAGCTATGGTGACTGTAGTGAAAAAGTGGCAGAAACTTTTTATAATATGGGCAGGATCTGCTTTGCCAAAGGAGAGCTCAGAAAGGCAACTCACCTGCTAAGGAAGGTGAGCTGAGGAAGGAAAATTCTGGCTGGTTTTGTTACATTTTCTCCTGAGCTTATTAGCAAAATGTAAGAAATAATGTATGTATAAAAACTTTCTCTTCTCCCCTCCCTTCAGTTTGCTTGCCTCCCCTTCCCTCCCTTCGTCTTCTCTTCTCTTCCCTTCCCTTCCTTTTCCTTCCTCCCTTCCCTTCTTTCTTTTCCTCCTCCCCATCTCTTCCCTATCCCCTCTCCTCCCCTCCCTTCCCTTTCCAAGGTACACACCAATCAGGATATTGAGAGATCCAAGGCTGAAGACTTAGTAAAATGGGTAGACATGTTTCTATGTAAAACCTAAGTTTGTTCAAAGTCAGAGGAAAAGTCAACAAAGATCAAGTAATACTCAAGTGAACAGAGAACAGAATCAGAAGCAATCCACAGAAGTACACTGACAAACATCAGATTTGGAAACATTTTTATCTTATTTTGGATTAACTTAATATAAAGATAAAGCGGTAAATAAGAGGAGAAAGGGGACCCTATTTTGAAGTTCCAGAGAAAAAGAAACCCTTCTGGAGATAAATTCTAGGAACCAGAATAGCTTCTTCAAGGGAAGCATGAACACATGGATGACAACTAACGGGTGTAGAAACTTAGAGAAGAAATTTAGAGAAGAGTCTGAACAAGCTGATGTTGAGCAACATGACTCAATCTAGAAATGAATCAGTAAAAAAGAACAAACTGCTCAGAATTAAAGAGAAAGAGAGAGAGAGCATCCACTTTAGATGCTAAAAGGAAACCTGTTTGGCAGATAGAATGTAGCATAAAGGATCATGTATGCAGATTTCTAGTGATACTTATGGCTATTTCTCTGGAAGTTCAGACTTCATAAAAAAGAAATCCAGCTGGGCCTGTGGAGGCACATACCCGTAATTCCAGCCCTTGGGAGGCAGAGGCAGGAGAATCTCTATGAGTTCGAGGCCAGACTAGGCTACATAATGAGTTCAAAGCCAGCCTGAACAACATAGTGAGACCCTGTCTCAAAAAAAAAGAGGAAATCCAAGTTAAAGGTTGCTGGGTTGGAGTGAAAAGGTTTAGATAATACATTAAGACTTACAATCTTGTGGTGGAACAAGTTTAGTTGATATACAATGAATTACACATATTTGAAGTGCACTGTTTACATCTCCATACACCTGTGAATTCATTACTAAATCATGGTAATGAATATAATAGCCACCTCCAAGGGTTTCCTCTTGCCCCTAATTCTTTAGCCTCCCACCAACACTACCCAGGCAACAACCTTTCTGCTTTTCACTATAGATACATGTGTATTTTCTAGAATTTTACATAAGTGAAAGCTTTTATAGTTAAACATTTTATGTGGTTCTTTCACTCAGCATATTTTCAGATTCATTCATGTTGTTGTATGTAGCATCTGAATTATTTGCATCCTTGACAAAGATTGTGTGTGTGTGTGTGTGTGTGTGTGTGTTTATTTTCGGGCTCTTCTGTTCCATTGATCTAGTTTTGAGTCAATACATACTATCTTGATTACTGTAGATTTAAAACTCTGCACGTTGTTTTCTAACTTTTTTTCCCTGGTATCAGGGATTCATCCAGGGCCTTGTGCATGATAAGCAGGTATTGTACCACTGAGCTACAGTCCTAGCACTATCAAAGTTACCAACCATAGTTTAGGTTCTTTGCATTTCCAGAGAAATTTTGGAATCTCCATATCAAGTTTTAAAATAAAGGCATCTGAGATTTTGACTGAGGTTCCATAGGATGCATAGATAAGTTTTTAGAGAATTGACATTTTAAAAATATTTATTCACCTTACCCAGGAACATACTGTGTCACTCTATTTATGTAATTTTTAAATTTCTTTCATTAAAAATTTATTGTTTTTATCTACAGTTCTCTTCAGATTTAAGTATTTTGTATTTTTGATGTTGTTTTAAATCTACCAGCTTTAAATTTCATTTTCTAATTGCTTGTTGGTATATAAAAATAAAATTGTTTTTTAATATAATAATCTTATATCCTATAACCTTGATAAACTTGTTATTTTCATAGCTGTTTTTAGGTTCTTTCAGATTATCAGATGATCACCTCATCTGCAGATAAATGCAATTCTATACTTTATATTCCAGTCTAACCTAGATGATTATTATTCCTTTCATTCTCCACTATTAATCTCATCCAGAATACTTTTTTTCCTATCAGACATGGTAATTTTTACCTTCAGAATTTTGACTTGGGGATATATATATGTGTGTATGCACACACACACACACACACACACACACACTATATATATATATATATATACCTGTTTATCTTTTTAACACAAGGAATTGTTACAATAGTAGTTTTAATGTACTTCTTTACTAGTTCTAATACCTGTGTCAATTCTGAATTAATTTGATTAATCTTTTTCTCACTAATCTGTTTACTTGAATGCCTAGTAATCTTTGTTTTGATGCCAGACATCGTGTATTTTATCTTGTCAGGTGTTCGATGTTTTTGTATTCTTGCAGTCATTCTCAAATTTCATTTTCCAGGACAAAGTTGTGTCTAATTCAGTTACTTGAAAACTTGGTTCCTTCATGTTTTACTTTTAAGATTTTTTAGTTGAGACTGGACACCATTTAGTCAATGGCTAATTATCCCCTATCCTGAGACAAGAGCCTTAAGAGTATCTAACCCAAAGATCCACGAACAGGAGGCTTTTCAGTTTGGCTGGTGGCGACAGGCACCCATCTGTCTGTGTTTCCTTCAGTCTTTCAGATGCTCCATTTATTCCCCCTAACCTGTGCTATGGTCCAGCAACACCCACAGCAGTCATCTGAAGCAATCATAGGGTTTATCTCATTTGCTTTCCTTCTCTCAGGGACTGTGATCTTCTATTGCCTGATGTCCAGTGTCTGAAAATTGTTTCATGCATTTTGTCTGTGTTTTCCTTTTTCTTTCTTTCTTTTTCTTTTAGTTGTTTCAGGTGGATCTGATTCCTACTATCTTGTCTTGACTGGAAACAAAGGCCAGCAATAAAGTTTAAAAAGGACAACTGCCTAACATAAAGGTGATGTGGCATGAGAATAAAAGGCAGCTTTGGGATATATACAAAGGTGTCATTTATCTCTATCCATTTAGTTACAGCTATTTGGGAAATTCTGGTGAGATCTAGTACAACCCTGTTTTGAGGAGTGATGCTTCCAGTTTTGGGCCCTGTTACTTTGGTTATCTATAGCCATGTTTGGCAGTGGCAAGTTCAGTAAACAGAGTCCATATATAGCATGAGAGGTGCAGAAGGTAACTAAAGAACCTTCAATGCAGATTTCTTTTCCTTTTTAGTAAGGAACCAATGATATTAGTACAGACCTTCCAAATGTAAACGTGGGATATCCCAGTTCTCTCCTTAGTTTGGTTTGCAATCAAGGAACTTGCTATTGGAGCAAGTTTTAACCTTTAACCTGTTATGTTTTTCATTTTACCCACAGTGTCTGATGATTCAAATCCTTATATATGGAAATGATCATGATAAAAGCAGAGAGACAAAAAGCCTTCTTGCCCTATTACAGAGGTGAGTTCTGGCCATCAACCAGGTGATCAGTATGAATGTATACGAAACATGCTATCTCTGATTCAACCGGTAGGGTGATTCAGCCTTGTTATCATTACTAGAAAGGCAGAATCCTACCTCTGCAATGGATTTAGCCGGTGGATAGACAATTGATTTTATATAGCCTCTTAAAACCCAGTATTACAGGAGTCAGCTGCAGTGATGTTTATTATTTGCAATATCCCTTTCATTGCCAAACACTGTAGCCAGATCCTACAAGGCCTTTGCTGACACAGCATGATAGGTGTGAGATGGATTTATACAAACTCATTGAGTACATTCAAATTATTTTTGTTGAATATACAAGGTCTCAGTACTTAAACATAAGACAAATTTTGTGTGTGTTTGGTTGGTTGGTTTTTACTTAGTTGTCTGTAAAATTAGTAATGAAAATGCCTCTTTTGGCTCTATTTTAATGTTTAGAATTTAAGCCAAAGAGATTTTTTTTGTGCTGTCTTATGTCATTCTTTAGTTTTCACACATCATTGATATTTGTTCATCTCAGCCATGGTGTTGACCTTGAAATGTTTTCTTGTAAGAGAGAAAACCATATATAAAGTCAGGTGTGGGGCACCTGCCAGTAATCCAACACTTGGGGGGACTGAAGCAGAAAGATTTCAAGTTTGAGACCAGCCTGGGCTATGTAGCAAGTTCAAGGCTACCCTGGACTACATAGCCAAAATACTGCTTGAAAAAAAATTAATTAAAATTTGTTAAGTGTATACTAAATTTCTAAAATTGAACTAGGTCCTGATCATAAAGTATTTTATTTAAACTTCACAAATATTCAGTGTGAAAGTTTTCATTTGACAGAAAGAAACTGTATGTTCTAGAAAGGAATTTTCTTAAATCCCACTCATTTATGGAGATTTGGATCCAGGTAAGTACAATCTTCAGGGTCCTGTGCTTTTCTTCCCCCTGAGAACCCACTACCAAAGAGAGGCATGGTTAAGGGTGAGAGTTAGGGCCCCATATGCGACTCACAACCTATCCCTTCTCAGAGAGCTTATAAGGCTAGACAGGTAGGAGAAAAGATGAGCACAGCAAGGATTTTCAGCAATTTCTCTCTGCACCCACTTCAGTCAGGGCTACACCTAAGGTATGCTCCATAGAAAGTTGTCACCTTTATATAATTTCCGGAAGACATGTTTCTCTGGCATCCTCCTGTAGTGCTCAGATTGGGAAAATATCGAGGACAGGGGAATATGGGAAAATTGTGTTTTGGCTGCCAGGGCATTTGAAAGCATAATCAATAACCATAAAAATCTGAGTGCTATAATACAGAACTCCTTCTAATTTTTGCAGATTATTGTATTTATACATGCTATTTCTTATGCATAAACCACACTGTTAAGTACATATTTTTTTTTCTCCTTTGTTAACTCAGGCTCAGGAATTTTGGGACTCTTGTCAAAAATCACCTAGTGGGTGTGGTAAGATCTGAACCTAAATTTGTTTTTGTTTTTTTTGGTTTTTCTCTGGTACCAGGAACCGAACTCATGACCTTGCACTTGCCAGGCAGGCGCTTTGCCACTGAGCTAAATCCCCAGCCCCTGAACCTAAATTGATCAGATTTCAAAAATGCTGTTCCTCAGAGTTGCAGATATAGACAAGTGGTAGAGTACTTGCCCAGCATGCACAGGGACTTGGATTCAACTCCTACCACCACACTTAGACACATATCAATGTCCTTTCTCAGTGTAATAGGGATTTGGAATTTGATGAATTTGTGTTTACATATAGGCATACCTGTTCAGCAGGTAAGGCTTCAAACCCATTTTACGTGAGGAGAAACTGAGAACTGATTTTACTGTTATCTTGCCAAGGAATAGGCAGAGCTGGGATTTTAATGCAGGTTTCTCTGACTCTAGAATGTGTTCTCTGCAGGAAGTATAGCTTACAATCTGGAGCCAGATTAACTGGATTCTAAACTCAGGCTGTAACTCTCGCCCTTCTGACCTAGGAGAAGTTATTTAACCTCCCCCAGCCTCAAGTTATGCGTTAGTAAAGTGATAGGACCTTCCTCAGGAAGTGGGTTTCTGTAATGAGATCATATATAATGAATGCAGCACTTGGATAGGCCCTGACAGGTCTTAAATGTTCAATGAGTGTTGATGCCATAATACTAAAATGATAGCAGTAGGGGTTCTCTTTACGAGGTGTTAGACATATTAGGTCACTGTTTAAATAAGAGGTGTCTATGTATCATCCTACTGTTACTTTGTATTAATAGTGACCAGTAAGGAGTATACGTGACTAGTTAGATGTGTGATCTTAGCCTGCCTGTGCCACGTAGGAAGTCAGTGACTCTGGGTAAATCACTTAACCTCCTTGAGCTTTAGTTTCTCTGTCACTAAAATGCAGGTCATACTAAACCGCACGGAGTTGTTGTGAGCTTTAAATAAAACCATGTTTATAATGTACACATTACAGTGCCTGGAGGAGTATGCAATCTATACGTGTTAACACACTTCCCCCCTTCTGCACAAACACTGCCTTTTGCTTTTAGGGAAACAGGGCAAAATATTTGAAATCAGGAATGATTGCTAGCCAGTATGATCATACGCTATGCGTCTGGCAACTTGGTTGAGGATTTGAATCTCTGAACATACATAAAATACATTTTGTGTTTTGAAGGCAATAACTATGAAACTAAAAGAATAAAACATATAATTTCAGAGATGAAATGTATTTCCTTAAAGCTGAAGCAAAAGTTTTACTCCACTTGGCTGTAAAGTGAGCCAGGCATAGTGACACATGAATACAGTCCCAGATACTGGAGAGGCTGAGCTAGGAACATTGCTTGAGCCCAGGAGTTCAGGGCCTGCCTGGGCAATACAGCAAGACCCCAACCCTTAAAAAAAACACAGAGAAATGTCAGGAGAGCTGGAGAAAACCTGCTTTCACAGTAGCCTGGGGTTGCTTTTCCTTCCAGTTCCTCATGCATGACTTGACAAGAATCACAAAAGGAGAAGAAATTAGAAGATGTTGTGTAACCTAATTCTGATCCAGGTAGTATGAATTTCATTAGGTGCTTAAAGCCTAATTATTCTGTCTGTTAATGACAATTAGTCCTAGACCTGCCAAGGAGGACCCTACAGGGGACAGAAGCATCTTTTGAAGGACTTTGCTATAGCAGAGTTGATGAAGGTTTCCCTTTCCCTGAAGCAAGCCCCTATCTCATTCCTCAAGATCTGCTGAGCAAAACCACAAAAGTAGCTGCCAAGGCCCAGATGTCAAAGTGCAGTGCAAGAATTGCCTCTGCTTCGGCATTTTACTGGAATAATCGATCCCAGATGTCCTGGAACTCTGCTGGCTTTGCAGTGCGCTCTCCTGTGCTTTTCACCCCATCTCCTCCAGAAACTCAGCGACAACACTCACTGTACTTTCACTGCCAGGAGCTTGAATTCTTGGCTTTGAAAGCCTCTATAAAGCAGTTAAAGCAGAACCAGTGCTTTGAAATAGGACCTAACTCCAAGGTTAAATGATAGCTACAAAGGCCTCAAATAAGATTTTAGTGCATAGAAAAGGCGTAGAAAATCTCAGCTCTGGGAAGCTTTGTTTAGTCTGAAATTTACCTAACTTACAAATGTACTTTAGTTTAGTCACTTATGTATCAAGCTCCTCCTCCTAAGAACTAGAAATGCTAATACATTTAAGATATAGTTCTTCCTGAGAAAATTGAGACACATGACCAAATTACAAATTAGTCTGTAGTAAATCTTTAACAAAAAATATAAACAAAAAAAGGACAAGGAATAAATCTTGGAGACTGAAATGTGAGTTTGTTGGTTTCAGACAGGGTTCAGGGTCAGCAAACTAAATGCAGAACACAGTATCAGCAAATAGAAAAGAAGCCAGAGAAAAGTATTCCAAGTATCTTAAATAAAAGCATAGTGTCATAGAGATAGTTGATATTTCTGAGGAAAAGCATGTAGCCTTCAGTAGCTGTAGTTTCTTTTTCTTTTGAGTCTGGCTATGTAGTTCAAGCTGGCCTTGAACTCAGTATGTAGCCCAGGCTGGCCTCAGAGTCACAGTGATCCTCCTGTCTCAGCCTCCCAAGTGCTTCGATTTTAGGTGTGCACCAACACAAACAGAGAGTGGGTGTACTTTAAGGTATAGGCATAGAAACACACTACAGATGAACTTGGAAAGAAAGATCAGGGCCAGATTATGGAACTTATTATGGAACTTATTATGTGCTTTGCTAAAGAAAGTAGAATGTATTTGATAAACTGAGGCAACTATCAGAGTTTTGAACAGGATGAGACAAATTCACTTATTAGGTTTTGAACATTAACTCTGAGAGCAATAGGAAGGATAGAGGGATTTAGGGAGTAGCAGAAAACCCAGTCAGAGGCAGATACAAATAGTCCAGGACAGAGCTGCTGAGAGCCTTCATTAGCTAAAGCATGATAGGAGGAATGTAAGGAAAATGGGTTGAGAAAGTGTGGAGTCTGTGTTGGCAGACCTTGGAACTGACCGAATATGAAGTGTAATGGAGCAGGAATCAGACGTGGCTTTGAAATTCGTAGTTCAGCAACTGGGTAAATGGCAATGCCATTAAATAAAATAGTATCGGTGAAAGGAGATCATCAGACCAGACAGGGGGACTATAATGACTTGCGTCCTGGATACGTTATGTTTGAGGTACCACAGTCATCTACTTGGCAATGTCTGGTTAAGCGGTTGGCTCTAAGGACTAGGAATTCAAGGAGTTGAGTTCCGAAGCCAGTGGAACAGATAAGATAACCACCAGAATAAGTGTGTATGAAACAAGAAGCCTTAGCAAAGGGCTTTGGAGAACGCTTTTACTTATTTTGAAGAGAATATAATGTGTGGTTGGTAGCAGGGCACTGAGGCTCAAATTGAAGCTTTCCTATTAATATGGAGCTTCCTAAGTCTTATTTTCATCTATAAAAGACAAATAATAACACTCAATTTTAAGTGCTTCATGTACACCAGGCACCTAGTTTTTGTGAAATGTTAATTATTCTTATTGTTGTTGCTACTGTACTTAGAAGAACCGAGACAGCCTGATAAAGAGCCCTCAGAGAAGGAGCAGACAGGTAAGAACAGATAACAAGTCAAAGGGCAAGCAAGTTTCCAGGAAGGAGTAGAAGACATCACTGTCGCAAAAGCATAAAGACAATTTAAAGAAGAAGAAGTGTAAATCTCTAGTAAAAGATTTTCAATCTCATAATTATAATGTTTAAAACATGAAATTCCATTTTTAATCTATCATATTTGTGCATATAAGAATATGGGTAATAACAAACCCACTTCAACACTGCTATCCACAGAGATACAGAAGCACTAGGAGAGCAGCCTTCCGTGGAGTCTATTTGTGGGACTGTTTGTTGATACACCATTCTGGTGGGCATTTCAGGGAAAGGTAACATGTTTACATGTCTGTCCTGTGACTCAAAATACTGCTCCAAACTTGTCGTTTGAAATGCTTCTCTTCTAGCATAGATAAAGTCCATTCACCTGGTTTATTCACAGATGGGTCACGGGTACATTCCTTCCCATTTTGCGGGTCTTTTGTGGTTAGGAAGCTCAAATTCTTTTCAAAGCTGAGAGAGATGATTGTGAACAAGCAGGGAGAAAGAATGTTCACACTCTTTCAAAATCTGCAACTGTTCAAAACGTCAAAAAATCCCAATTCACTGTGTCCATAGTTCCAGTTTGGCTTTGAATGCATCCACACTACCTGCTGACTTGAACATGGTTGTTATTAATCTTCGTAGTGACAGATTGGGTTTCTTAAGCGGGCTAAATATGTCACACGAGTAAGTAAGATTTGCAGCCCATTCGGTGTCACTAAAATGTGCTGTCAGTGGTGTTTTTCTGAAAGGAATTTGCGGCAGGGGGGCTCTCCCAACTCAAAAACTGGCCAGTGATCTTCCTGTAGAAAGCTATCTCGCTTCTGTGTATAAGAGAAAACGTGTGTGCTCTGTGTCCATCTCCTTACAAAGCTGCTCAGATGTGAGCTAAGGGCATCTACTTTAAGGTGGTTGATAATTTTAATCACATCCTGCAAAACGTTATATTTAGGTGACATTTACCAGCTAGCCAACATTTCTCTGGATACCACAGTGTGTAGATCACATTCAGAAGCAACCTCTTTGACCCACTCATAGCAGCTATATAGTCTACCCTAACTCAAAATAACCAGTTCAGCCTTCCTGACATATCACCATTCAAAGACTTGACTAGTTCCACAGCTGTGGTGTTAGTTGGCAAAACATGTGCATGACATACCTTCATGCACAATCTCCTGAAAAATATGACATAAAAACAAGCATGGTTACCTTGTTTTCAATATCAGTAGGCTCCTCAACCTAAATTATATACCATGGTGACTCAGTTAATCCTCTCTAAAAATTGTGCCTCAATATCCTGTGCTATTTCATCAGTTCATTGAATTATGGTGCTAGCCAAAGAGTAATAATACATGCACCCTTGGAACTTCAACCGCTCCTAAAAGTTCAAAATATCCTTAGCACCAGGCAGACTAGACTCTTCACCAATCATAAAAGACTTCTTAGCTAGAGCAATGCAGTTAGCCACTAAGAATGATGCTGTCAGTGCAGACACAGCTGATGAAGTGGTGGCCTTCAGTAATTGCTTCTGTTCTTGCTCACTTTCTTTTTCTGTTGAAAAACTCTAAAGGTTTGCTTTGTAATCCAGAGTGCTTGGTCTCCACATGGCAAGGCAGTTTTGAAGTTTTTGTGGCTTCATTGGATAATCAGTTGCCACATAGTATACAAAGCAGGCTTAGGGAATGTGAATCTCCTGTTGCAGTGAACTGCTAATTTAAGTAGGACTGTTGGTATTTTATTTTAAATATAGTTTTCTTTTTGTTGGTAGTGTTAGAGTCTTCTGCTGTCTCATCTTTGGGTCTTTTCTCCTTTTCAAAGACACTCTCCAGTGATGTTTTTTTACTCATTTTGGCTAGTGTTAGCTTGTGGACTTACTGAAATTGTGACTGAGACAACTGTGCAGTGTAGAAAAGAAGCACAGGTGGAAAATAAAATAATGGGTGGTAAATAAAATAATAGATGGGTCATGTGGACTGAAGTGTCAGATTCTGACTGAAAGCCTACCTCCAGATATAGCAGTATAATTGAAGGACATCAACTCACTTGCCACTATAAGGCTGGCTACCAAAAGCAGCTTAATTGTTACTTTCCACTCGATGGGTTTTGGTGAGTGTTATGGTTTGTATCTGGATGTCCCCCCAAAGCCTCATGCAGTCATGGGGTGACCTTCTAGAGTTTATGATTGACTCATGGTCCAATGTTGGCATTATGGACGTGAGTGCTACACCTGCCCTGGGGCGGGTAGTTTGCATACAGTGTAAGGGAGGGAAAGAGGCTTGCTCTTCCAGCTGCTGCTCCTCCCTTTTGCTCTTGTTGCTTTTGCTGTTTTCCGCCACCATGAACTGTTGCCTCTGTCATGTTGCACTCTGCCTTGGAGCCAGCCGAATATGGACTGAAACCTCCACAAACTGTGAGCTAAATAAACCTTTCCTTCTTTAATTCTGGGTGTCAGTTATTTTGTCTCAGCAACGAGAGAAAAGTAATCAAGACAATGAGCCTGTAAGCAATCATGGTGCAGTCAAACCTCTCTGCCAGTGTGATCTACATTTACAGTCACTCCTCAGTGCTAGCATCACCACCTCAGCTCCTCTTCAGATGATCAGGCATTCCATTCTCTTGAGTGTGCAACCTAGACCCTTCACATATGCAGTTCAGAGTAGAGTTTGCAAACCTATGAGAATCTAATGCCCTTGCTGATCTGAGAGGAAGCAGAGCTCAGACTGTAATGTGCACAGTGGGGAGCAGCATCATTCAGCTCCTCTTGTGCATATCAGTTCCTAACCGGCCACAGACTGGTAACTGTCAGAGGCCTGAGGTTTTAAATCTGTGTTTAAATCTAGGCTCTATCACTTTCTGTGTGCTACTGAGCAAGTTTCCATGCCACTTTTTTCTAATGAAGATTTAAATAAGAATATAAAATGAAAATACAAAGCAGAGTAAGTGAGATTTTTCACATAAAGCACTTAGCACGTGGGATCTGGGTTATAGTAAGTGCTCAATAAATATTAACTATTTTTACAATTCTACATTTTTATTCACTTATTAGAGGTTGGAAAGCATGGAGCTTCAATTTCATGTTTGTCTCTGCAGATGTCTCAGGACAGCTGCATACTGAAAAGTTATTTTGATATAATCTTTGATGGGTCTTATGCTATAGAATCCAACAGGAGCAAGAAACACCATCTTGTCTCTTCACAAGGGAAAGAAGGAACTGCTTCCATTTCCATTAACCTATTAGTGATTTACTGTTCTCTTAGTCATGTGAACAAAATGCAGCGGCTTCGTTTTCAGCTAAGGGGGTGGAAGAGGAAAGTTGGTGTAAGTGGGAGTTAGAGTGACTGTATTCAAGGAGAACTGCATAAGGAAAAACAAAACAGGTGATATGTTGAGTAAGGTTTGCCTCAGACTTTTCATGGGTCTTATCAGTTGTGGGTAAGAACCTTAGTGATGAAATTTGTGCTAATAAACTGGTTTCCATGCTGCTGTATTTGTATTCCTCTCTTACTATTTATGAATGAATATTCCAACACTGCCTCTAACAAATTAGAGAAAATATTTGGCCAAACCTTGGCATGAATGAAGATCATTAGCTACTCCAGCATCCAACTGCCAGCGGCCACCAACTTTTCCAGATCAGGATTTCAGGACTACATAGAGGCAGTGGCACAGACAAAATGGAAACTGAAGATCCTGTTTTGTCTTGGGGTCTTCCTGATGGGGACCAGGGACTTCCAAGCCACTGAGAGCCAGCTCAGGGTACACTGTCTTTAGCAGAGCAGTGGGAAAGTGCTACCATCAACAGCTACTCTGCCACATCCACAAAAGTGGACAGACAGGAGGGGGCTAGTGTGGAATTGGGCAAGGTGCGCATACATACTTCATCTCACAGATGCATTCTGTAGCTGGTTTCCTAGAGTGATGCATGACATTCCAGAGATAAAGGTCAGGTTTGGTGGACCTTGATTTATTAGTGTTGCCTGCCACAGGTATATTTGCTATTCAGTATACAGAATAGAGCATTGTTATTTTGACTCGAGGCACCTGCTGTGTAATCCCAACTGTGCTATGAAATAGCTAAGGGACCTTAAGTCACTTAAACATTCTGAGCTCTGCTTCCTCATCTTCAGTCCTTCAGCTGACACCTGGTGAGCACCTCCTGCCAGGTGCAGTGAGAGCCGCAGATGGTGATAAAGATAAGTAAAATGTGGTGATTAATCTTAGTAGGTCAGCACTCCAGTGCAAGAGACAAACATGAAGAAACAATGAAAACATGAGGTATAAGTTCTGGACTAGAGGTCTCAGTGCAGGAAGAAAAGAGAATCCTTGGGAGCTGAAGGACTTCATAGGGAGAGTGACATTGCAGTGTTTTCTTCACAGGGCAAGTAAGAGCTCACCCAGATGGAAAAGAGAAGCCACTCCAGGCAGAAGCAACTCTGTATGCAAAGGCACGGAGGCATGACAGAGGGCCGCGTGTGGAAGGAGTGGTAAGTACTTACAGCTATTGTAGAAGGCAGCATTTCCTAAAGAAGACTGAGGGAATGCTAATTTCAAGAGATTTGCTCTGCCTAGCTGGGAGTGAGAAAAGCCCTGTGGAAAATGAGTTTAGGAAAAACATAGACTGAGTTTAATAAAGTGGTATGAGTTATTTTCCTGAAAGATTCCTTAGAAGTTTGAATATATTAAACTTTCCTCTTGGTATGCTGAAGGACACACTTGGAAAAGGGATACAGGAATGCCCTACTTCAGGACATAAAGTCTTTGAATGACTCACTTAATGAGCTGTTTTACCTGATAATAGGAACATGACCTCAACACATACTTAAGAACTATTTTTTTCTTTGTGATTCATGGTGATTAAGAACTGTAGTAATAGAGACAGGCCAGCCTGGGTTCAAACCCCAGAACTGCTAGTTTTTGACCACTTGAAATTTTGGTTTCTCAGCTGTAAAATGGGGATGAATATAGTACTGATCTTACTATTGCTGAGAGAATGGAGATTTTTATGTTAAAGGGCTTAGCAGAATGCTTGGCCCCATAGTAATCTGTACTAAATAAGACCTATTTTCATGTTCCTATTATCATTTTTTTGATATATTTTCTTCTTTTTTTGGTACCAGGAATTGAACTCATGACCTCAGGCCTGCCAGGCAAGTGCTTATGCCACTGAGCTATATCCCCAGCCCCTAAGGTTACTCTTTCTTTCTTTCTTTTTTTTTTTTTTTTTTTGGTACTGGGGATTGAACTCAGGGCCTTGTGCTTGCTAGGCAAGCATCTTACCACTGAGCTACATCCCCAGCCCCCATTTTGCTGAAATTTTGACTTTGGTGCTTTTTTTGTTTTGTTTTTTAATTAATTTTTTTTTTTTTGGCTTGAGACAGGGTTCTTGCTATGCAATTCCGGCTGGCCTTGAGCTTACTTTGTAGCCCAGGCTGGTCTCGAACTTACAGTGATCCTCGTGCCTCAGCCTCCCGTGTGCTAGGATTATAGGTGTGCACCACCACGCTTGGCTTGGGTTTTTATTTTTTAAAAAATGTATTGGAACAAATTTTATTGGTACATTTTAGACAAACATAACGATAACATTTATCATAGGGAATTGGTACCTGTACATGATGTAGTTTGCCTTTTTCCCATTTCCTCCCCCTCCTTGCAACTCCCCTTCCCCTCCTTATTTACAAAAGCTTTGTTTCCATTTTCTCCCCTTCTATTTTTTTTTTTTTTTTCCTTGTGCTTCCCTTCCTTTTCACACCATCTGTTCATGAAACAGATAGGGGCTGGTTACTTGGAAAAGCTACCACCAAGCTGTTTTGTTGGTTATCTCAAATGTGACCTAGAGATTATTAACCTCTATAAACTGACAGTGTCATAGACAAGACAGCGTGACACCATTATTTAAGCACAAAAAAGATACTACACACTGGAAATCAACTGTCCTTTCATTGAAGATTTCAGGCAAGGGGAATCCTGCCACCTTGTGGTTGGAGAGTAGTAGGCAGGAGGCCGAGTCTAGTTTTGTCTCTAGCAGTTTCAGCCCTCAGATCTTTGCTGACCACCTCTGAAGTTATGAGGCCTTAGGTCAGTTGATTTAATCTATGCCTGCTTCCTGTGCTAATACAAAATCACATTATCTCTTGGTTTCCTATAAAGTAAGTTAAAGTGACAGCTTTCTGTATTTTATGCAACCCAGCAGTAGTCAGAAAATAAACCACAGTCCTTTTATCTTTTGGTTTTTTTTTTCTTTTCCCTTTTTTTCCCTCTTCCCCCTTGGAAACAAAGCTTTGTGAGTAAGGAGAGAAAGAAGGGTTGAGAGGAGAGGGAACTGGGGAGAGAAAGAGGAATCATGATATATAAGTACGAATTCCCTATGATGAATATAAACACTATGAATATCTAAATTTTACCAATAAACTTGATTAAAAAAAAGAACCCATAGTCTTTAGTATGATCTGCATATTTTAAAACACCTCAGGTTGCTCATAAAATACATATCTTGTATTTCTACAGAAGGTATTTTTTCCCTCCCAACTAATTAAGGGTGATGAAAGCCACATTTTTGGTAGACTTGAGGCGTAAACAGAAGGTGATTGAAGAACACTTAATTAAAACTGTTTCTGAATCAAGTCTTTTGTGCCATGTTACCTATCGGTCCGGCTCAGGCCGTTCCTATTAGGAAATCAGAGTATGTAGTCTGTATGGTTGGAAACAGGGAAGACAAATCCTCTTTTTAGCACTTGTAAAGGCTCTGTGCTCGGGAGAAGAAATTGCCTGAAAATCATCAACTACTATAAGGGCCTCAATGAGCTGGATGCTAGGCTGTGATTAAAAGCAATCAGGGTGCTGAGATCTCCATAGTTTGCCATCTAAATCAAAGGATGAGCTCCCTGGTGTCTTGGGAGAAAACCCTACCCCATTGGAGGCCTCTTAGGAGAGTCGGCACTTCTGGAGGTGTGGCGGGGTTGGGAGAGAATGATGACACACTCGGGTGCCTCCAAGGAGCAGCACAGCCTCCTAGCTCAGACATGGCAAGGATTTGGTGCTGGGAGAGGCGGGGCTCGTCATGGAGGAAGAAAAGGGAAAAACCAAGAAAAATACACAAATGGGTTTGTTCTTTCCTCTAGGTCTTCTGTTATGAGTAAAGAGAAAACTTATACAAGACAGTCAACAATAAAGGCAACACTGTTGACAATAAAAATTACAGACTATGAAATACATTAACATGGGCAGTAGTGGCAGAGCAAAAGCAGAAGAGTACTAAGGACTCTGGGGGGAAAGTACGTTTAGCAGCAACATTACAGGTAAAAAAGCCAAGAACCACTGGATAACCCAGATCCTGACCCGTAAGTGGAGGTGGGGGTCTTTTAGACATGTTTGTCTTGTTTGCTTTTTTGAGACAAGATCTTGTTATGTAGTTCAGGCTGATCTTGAAATTTTGAGTTTGTTGCTTTTTTGGTTTTTGTTAGTTTTTTTATTTTTAAAAAATGCCACTATGTAGCTCAGGCTGGGCTCAAACTCATGATGATCCTCCTGCTTCAGCCTCCCAAGTGCTGGGATTACACCACTCCCAGTAACAAGTTTCTTATGCCACTAGGACTACATTACCTTCCATTTCCCTTTTCTAACTTTAATTTCATTTCTTTTTAGTCCTGGCTTTAAAAAAACATTCTGCCATAACTAAGCAGTTTATTGGTGAACATTTTAATATACTATTTGGAAGGGTTTTTTTTGTCACCTGCTCAAGGTTAACAAAAATTGCTTCCTAAAGAACATTTGATCTCTGAGCCTTCTGCCTCCATCTGATCTGTGGAAGTCATGACGTGCTAGCCTCAGAAGGGATTTTTTATTTTGTGAAGAAACTTGGTACAGGAGCTATGAGGGCTTTGTTCAAGGTCAGCCTTATTGTAATTACAAGGCTAATGATTACTCTTCCATACCCTCACTTAAATGGATTTTAAAGCCTTGTTTTAAAAAACGCTAAGGTTGTTAGCTACATGAGCTGATTTAGTGGAGCTCAAAGATGTTGTGTCTTTGGGGATCTTAGCATCTCACTACCAACAACTGTATCCTTTACAACTTACAGAGCTGTATTTTAGTTCTTCATTCAAAAAACTTTTATTTGTCCAGCCTGTGAAATCTAATTGATAATCAATAAGTTCCCAAATTACAGTAGTAGTATTTCTCTGTGGCACAAGCACACACACACCAAGTAACCCACAGGTTTGTCCACAGAATGGTAGGCTTTCTCTGAGCAGTTGCCAACTAATGCTTGGATGTGTTAGACTGGACGCCCTGGATCAAGGCTGAAAGTGGAGCCCTGGCTGAAGGCAGCCATATTCCTTTGTCTTTCTCCGAAGGGTTTATTTACCTGTCAGTTGGCCCTACAGTATTAACTTTAGCTTTGTCTGAAGATGGGATTCCTTCCCTTATTTTTAATTGACTCAGCCTCAAAAAGGTTGTTTCCTTTTTGTATATCCTGTTGAAAATGGGCTTTCAGCAGAACAAAGTGGCCATTCTGACTTCATTTTAGGGCACCAAAAATTTTTACTCTTTTGTGAGACCCCAAAATCTTAAGATCTCTACACTAACAAAACAGTATCAATACAATAAGCAGCAAAAAAGAGTAACACTACAAAATTTGATATATATGCCAAAATAAGTTGGCATCTATATTGGGCCCCAGTTTTGTTTTTCCAGATTTTAAAGGGCAATTTTATCACAGCAAAATAGAGCAGAAGGTAGATTTCCCATACACCTTCTGGCCGCACACATACATAGCCTCCTTCAGAATCAACATCCTCGCACAGTGGTACATTTGTTAGTCTATGAGTCTAAAGGACACATCACAGTCACCAAATCCATAGGTTACATTAGAGTTCACACTTACTCTTACTAGGACCCCTGGATAACATTCTGTGGTTTACTATAAAAATCATTGTATCAACAGCCTTATTTTTATTGGAAAAGTAGAATTTAATAAACTATTCTTATAGTTGTGAGGCATTGCATCAGTTCTACGTGGAAACACATCAAATGGGGAATAAACAAATTAAAAAAGAAAGATTGCCTATTCATTATGGTAACCATGATTTTACTGAAAATGAGATAAACTCCAATATATGAAGTCAGACAAATAGATAATGACATGTACCCACTATTACAGTATCATCTGGAATAGCTGCCCTAAAACTCCTATGCTCTCCTGAAAAGTTCTAAAATTTTACTATACTAATTTGTGAAACCTCAATCTTAAGAAACTACACCTGGAAATTCAGTGTAATACAACCTAAAGGAAAACTATAGATGAAAACCAAGCTAATTTCTAGACTCAATCAGTTGAAATCAGCACTCTGCATAACCCAAGCTAATGAAACACCTGGAATTTCTAACAGACCTGAGCTAACATCACAGCCTTTACAATTATTTTGAATTACTAATGGGTGCTGACATTTTTGAAGTGTGTGAAGGTTAGCTATTTTCCTACAATCTTTATGCCAAGTGAAGGAATTTAAACTCAAACTCCTCATATCAGATTTCAGTAAACACTTTTCCCATTTTTAATCAGTACATGTTTTCAGTACACAATGATTACATTCTTAATAAGCACATGGATAAGTGTATACAACCTGTTCTGTAAACTCACTGAAGTCACAGTTGCTGACTTGGTAAATTCACTCAATGCTTCGCATGAAAGGTCCACTTAAAGTATGCTTGATGATATCTCAGATAGGACTATCCTAAGCGCGTGAGCAGCAGCAACTGCAAATCCTCAGATGAAATGGCAGGAAGCAGGAGTTAGGGACCAAACCTCACGTACTATGCCTAAGGGTCAGAGACCACAAGCCTTACAAAATTGTGGTTTCCTTTTCATACAAGGAAAAGGAACTACTCTGAAGTCAGTTCACATCTCCTAAATATCTCTAGGTTTACCAAAGAAGGCTGCTACCACTATGTCATATTTCATATGTTGAACAAATTATTAAATTCAAAAAGAGAAGATTTACTAAGCTCTCTAGGTATGACTGAGAGATGGATACCGGAAGCACTTAAATTGCCTATGGCATTTTGACTGGAAACTGGCTGGCCACCACCCACAGTGGGAAATCCCTTAGTTACTGACTGCCACCAGAGTGGGGTGCACAGAACCTGACACGTGTACAGAGGGCACACGTGTACAGAATTCTGACTTCCTGTAAAGCAAAGCACAAACAATGAAGAATCACGTAACTTCTCCAACTCCTCAGGACCCAACAGATTTTATTTCTGATGATAAGAGGTAGGCAATGTGAAGTCACAGAAGGTGAAAAGGGAATCTACCTTGTTTTGAAAGATTTCTACTCCAAGCTGTTGAGAATGCCACATGCTATCCTTACAGCAATTATAACTTACTCTTACTAGGACTCCTGGATAACATTCTGTGGTTTACTATAAAAATCATTGTATTAACAGCCTTATTTTTATTGGAAAAGTAGAATTTAATAAACTATTCTTATAGTTGTGAGGCATTGCATCAGTTCTACATGGAAACACATCAAATGGGGAATAAACAAATTAGAAAAGAAAGATTGCCTATTCATTATGGTAACCATGATTTTACTGAAAATGAAATAAACTCCAAAAAGGCAATACTAAAACTCTTAAACGAAGTATGTATTCTCCTTATGCTAAACATGAAATGAAACTGTGGTGGTACCAAAGTGCCAGCTCTGCCTGAGGAAGTGCTCTCTCCATTGGTCTTTTTCACTGCGTCTAAAACAAAGACTCAAGAAAAATTTCTAGGTCAAAAAGAACACACACAAATGGGAAGTTCTTTATTAAATCAGCACCATGAGGTTAGGGTGATTTAAAAAGAATCCATTAAATTGTTTTTAATATTTGAGGGTTTTTTTGGAGACAGAGTCACACTACATAATCAGGCTGGTCCTGAACTCACTATACCTAGGCCCAGGCTGGCCTCAAACGCCCAGTGATCCTCCTAGCTCAGCCTCCTAAGTGCTGGGGATTACTGGTGTGTGCCACCACGCCCAGCTTTTTATTTTTGTTTTTTTTTGTTTTTCTTCCGGTACCAGGAATCAAACTCATGACCTTGCACTTGCCAGGCAGGCGCTCTGCCGCTGAGCTAAATCCCTGGCCCCACGCACAACTTTTTAAAAGAAAATCTTTTTTGGTTTCTTGACTCTAAATAGCTAAAAAGTCAGGCAGCTAAAACAGTGGTTTTAAATGTGCAAAAATACTCATCATTGTTAAATCCATGGTAGATTCAACAAAAATGTTAGATTAAAATAATTTTAGAGCTAAATAATCAGAATAATGACTAACAGGATGCTACAAAACAATCTGAAAGTAGAGATTCTTTCATCTAACAAATATTTATTGAATTCTTCTTTTTTTTTTTTGGTTTTTCTCCAGTACCGGGAACCGAACTCACGACCTTGCGCTTGCCAGGCAGGTGCTTTTGCCGCTGAGCTAAATCCCCAGCCCCTTTATTGAATTCCTATTACAGGCACTGCTCTAGGCACAAGGCACACTAATGAACAAAAAATAATAATTAATTATCTTATTTTAAATTTATTTATTTTTGGGTGAGCGAGATAGAAGGTTTGTTGTAAAAAATGTTATACAAGTTCTAAATGTGCCCTGTTTTAAATATAAAGAAAAAGAAAAGTAAAATTATAGTCCTTAAAATACTATTTTTATAATTATATTTCAGATATGATGGTGGTGTTTATCTAAATAAAAAATATTTTGACAACATTTAATAGATTCATCCATTTCCTTCATGAGTATATACTACACTTTACAGAATTCTAACTTCCTATAAAGCAGCTGGGCATCCTGAGACTGCCCATGGGCTACAGCCCAGGACTGCGCATGTGCTTGGAAAGCTCGGCCTGCAGCAGCTCTGGAGAAGCCGTTCCTCAAGAAGAGGCACCTGCTGCAATGCTCTCCAAACCAACTTTGTTTAAGGCTCAGGGGCCTGTTTTAAGGTAGGGCATTCCAAAAGTACCATCAAATGTTGGTGAGTATCACTGAATGGTTCTCAAGTGGTCCCAATGACTTACATTAATGGACAAAGGCCTCGGAGGCTAAATGAATCCTGCAGTATGATCATAGTCTTCCCCATGCAGAGCTGTCACACCCACAAGGCCCAGACTGCTAGTCTATGACAGAGACATTACACTGTTGTCACCTAGTATAATAACAAAAGATAAAAACTTCATCTTGTTATGTAGTTTTTCTACTAGAGAACATGTCATAATTTGAGCATTATATTTTATCAGATACAAAGAATATTTATATTCTACAAAAATATTCAGGTAAAAACCCAGAATACTACAAAATCATATAATAACTGGTTTTCCTTATGTTGGTTTGCTCAAGAAGTTCTTATAGGTAAATGGAAGGCACTTACTGCATTGAATAATTCTAAAAAGAAAATCTGTAACTCTGAAAATTGCTTATAATCTGTCACAGATGTCTTCAAAAGGTGTACTTTAAAAATAAGTCACGTAAGGAGTAATTCAGGCAGGTTTAGTGATGCCTTAACTTCAGAATGTCTGTGAGAAAAATGTACGTTAAAATCAACTACCTCTAAGCTGCATGTGGTGGTACATACCTCTAACTTCAGCTGGTTGGGAAGCTGAGGCAGGAGGATCCCAAGTTAAGATTCAGGCTGAGTAACTTAGCAAGACCCTATCTCAAAAAGTGATGTGGATGTAGCTCAGTGAGACCCTGGGTTCAATACTCCATACCACCAAAACCCAAAAACAAAAGAAAGTAAACACTTCAATGTATATTAAAACAATAGTTCCCACACTCTGGCACACATCAGTTTCCTTGAGAAAGCTTAGATTGCTGACTCCACCCCTAGAGTTTCTTACAAGTTTCCAGATGATTCTGATTCTGATTCAGAGCACTTTGTGAACCAGTCTGCCTTACGATGTAGTTCACACTAACAGGCCATGTCCACATGCCTTTGCTTTTTCTAACAGTAAATAAATAAAAGATCATTTCAGATATGGCATCATCAAACTTTAAACCTCTAGTCCTTGAACTGTTCTATTTAAATCGAACATATAATTTATCCACCAAGACTCACTCTAATTGTCGTGAGTTCCAAAGACAGAACCACAGGATAGTGTATTAAGCTGGATAATCTGTGATTGCATGAAAACATTTATTTATAAAACACACAGCAGTTGTTATGAAGACTCTGCTCCCATCTTCTCTATCCTCGTTCCCTATAGAAAATACAACAGGAAATCATGGAGAGTACCATTCTCAGAATGAGAACGCAACCTATTATCAGCAAACATCAACATCACTGTGGATTCTTGTACTCAGGACTCAGCTTGAGGAATGTCTTCATCTGGACAACAGTAATAGTCCACAAAGTTTACGTGTCCATCTTCATTTTTAATCATATACTGCAATGAGAGGAATCCTCGGTCATCTGTCCTAATAGACACTTTACACGATAAAACCAGTGCCTTTGTAGAGGGTTTCAGTAAGGAAATCTTGTACCTGTAGAAGAGTACACAAGAAATTGTTTGGTACTTGGATACACAACACAGTGCTTTTAAGTCCAAGTAGAGAACAAAAAAATTAGCCAAGAATTACTAAACAGCAAATATAAGAATAAAATCAGATACTTCTCCAGTTTGCTAATATGTTCTCTTGCTTTCTTACTCATACACTACTACAAGCCCAAGCACATCAGGCATCTTACCACTCATTTTTAAAAATGTTATGCATTTTTATTAACAGATTGAAATTTGGTATTTAACCTTACTGTCATCACCAATGGCCACCTCTATATTAAGAACTGACCTGTTGACCTGGGTCTGATTGCAGTGAAATGCTTCCATCAAATCACAATCTTTGGGATAATCAAGGTGGGAGCTTCCTGCATTTCCAAAAGTAGACAACCTGTAGAAAAAAATGAGTAACTCATTTGTTCACTGGTCCAACAATAGCATTAGGATCCAAATAAACAAAACATTTCCTTTGGGAGCTCATTTTAGTGGCTGAAAGAGACATACAAAATAAATGTTGAACAAGAGTGGTGGCACAGGCTTGTAAATCTCAGCCCTTGGGAGGTGAAGCAGGAGGATCACCACAAGTTCAAGGCCAGCCTGGGTTACATGGTGAGTTCAAGGCAGCTTGAACTACACAGCAAGATCATATCAAAGTTTATAATTACTTTAACAAATGCCATAATAAAGGTTCCCATAGGATTCTGTGGAGGTACACAGCAACTAGGAAATTAGCAACAAATTTGAAGAAAATTAGTCCCATCTGTCTGTCATACTGATAATGACTTTTCCATGTCATTAAATTTAGAAATACGTAACTGAGAGGGCGAATTGAGGCATGGTGGAAGACTGATCTAAGCTTACTTGGATCCTGTCCCCAATCCTTATCGCCAGCTCAAGCATTTATGGCTTTTCTGTACCTTACACTGCTCTTAAGCAATTTTAGGGTTTTCTCACTTAGCAGTATCAGCAACTCTGTATAGACAATTTTAAATGTTTATATGTTGTTAATCTGCAAGAATCTACTAAGCGTTTGTTACGTGGTCTGCAAGCTAGTCAGTGCGATATGAGCATGGGGTCAGACCTTAGTGTTAGTTGGTCCCAAGCGCCTCCCAGGTGTTACTGTTCCTGGAGTCCATCTTTTCTCTCTTCTTCCAACATAAACTCTCTCTGAGTATCTTCTCTTCAAGTATCGTGCCCAGCCATGATGACGGCTCTCAAATCTAAATTTCTAGTCTAGACTGAGCTCCTCAGTTCAACTCCCTATTGTCACAAGCACTTCAAATTTAACAAATCCAAAAAGAAATTTTAACTCCCACTTCCCTACCATGAAACCGTTTCCGAAGTTGGAGATGAAAGATACTGTGATATACCAGTCATCTTTGTAAAAGAGGGTTCATTTAAAAGGGGATCCTCTGAAATACCGTTAAGTGGGGTTTCACTGATTTGTTATAATATTTAACACATTTCAAGCCAAATTTTTATTTGCCTAATGCCGTAAGGCAGGCCTCCAGTTCTTCTACAATGGAATACAAAAGGAACAATCTTCTTATTCTGTATGTAGTTATCTCCTTTGTGCTTTAGTACTCTGAAATATTTTAAAAGACAAAAAATATTTAGGTCTTCTTTTTAAATTGTTAAGATTCTCTAAATTGATTCTGATCATAAAAAAAAGACTTGCCCTTTTGTAATTTGTTGGGACAAAATATCAGTAATAGTTGACAGATTTTGGTGAGGCTGGGGTAGGGAGGTGGGCACTAGGATTGAACCCGGGGCCTCATCATGCAATCTACCACTGAACTATATCCTCAACCCTTTTGGAAATTTTATTTTGAAACATGGTTTTGCTAAATTCCTCAAGCTAGCCCTTGAACTGGTGATTCTTTTGCCTCAGGCTCCCACCTAGCTGGGATTTCAGGTGTTTATTGCCTGAAACAATACCTAGGCAGCTTAACAGCTGCGACATTGTATTCTTGGTGAAAATTGCCCTGACCTAGGAAGCTTTCCTTGGCCATTCCTCCCTGAACACTCAAGTACTGTACCTACAAGTACCTATGAGTATTATTTTAGTACTTAGTGGTCTGTAATTCTGTTTCTTTTCTGCTGTTTCACATATTCTCACATACCTTAATTTTAAGCTATTCCTCCAAGTCTTAAAACAGTTATGTGCACTGCAGATAACCAACAAGTACTAAGCAAATAAGCCATATATCAAGAAGTGTCTATGTTACTTTGTATCCTGAACTCAAAAGCAAAGAGATAAATATACCACACTGTACAAACACCTTTTCCAAACGTTTAAACCCAATTTTTCTTATGGTATAACATGATCTAAAATAGTAAGTAGTACAACAATGAAAAGACTGCTAGTTTACAGAATAGAAAACTAGGTTTCTCAACTACAAACCAACACTGAGTAGCTACGATATCCTAAATAGTGAGTTATTCTTTTAGGTTTTAAGTCTCTTGATCTATAATATTATGAAGAATAAAAACTTTTAAACTTCTGCAAACTTCTGGAAACCTAGATAAGAATACCACAAACTAAACGAACGTGTAATGGGAGAGTCTGAGTATAGGCCTCGTGAACTATAAATGCACAGCTTTCCATTACCTGAAGTAGGGTGTGTCAGGAGATATGGTGATCTGTAGGATCTCACTCGTCATATCCAATTCAGAAAATGCTTCACGGAGCCCCTCTGACAGCAGAATAATTTTACTGGTAACATTGGTGTTGCAGAAATCAAAATCCAAAGTTTCCTTGGGCTCCTGAGTATTGATTTTGCAGACTGTCACCACTCCTCCTTCTTCTAGAAATAGCATCAAAGGGTGACCATATCCTTGGTAACACATCCGAAGTGCAGTTAAAGTGCCTTCAATGGAAAGAAATTATACTGGGCTCAGCTTTAAGGCTCTTGGTTCAGGTTCTCCTCCAAATCACACATAAAATCAATCAAATATAATTTATTCTGCTAAACTTCTTATAAGAATTACAATTCCTAGAACAACTGCAGAAAAATTGGGAATCGGAGCCAAATTTAATAATTTTCACCTTACCAAAAACGTCTCAGCATTGCTTACAGATCTCATTTTATATACAAAGCCTGCCAAAAATTTATATATATACATCAGAAAAACTTGCATGAATATTTTAATACTAAATTTATTGGGACATCATGAGACTAATACAAGTTAACTTTGACCTCTTTCATTTTAAGTGTTGTTCAAAGTGGGGGCCATTAGCTTTCAGACATTTATTAGCATGGCAAACTACTGAAGTGTGTCTGCATTTTTTGGCAGTCTCTGTCAACTATAAAATTTCAGTATGGAAATTCTACAGAAGAGTAAAAAAGGCCAGTAACAGAACAATTGCCAAATAGGTCATGCTGTTTCTTGAAGTCTCAACTTATACAAGAAGTGAATTGCTTTTCTATTGTCTGTACTACATTTTTAGTTTATTCACTATGATAAGGACCCCTCCACCCACTCCTATTGGCAGTCTTTAAATTTTCTCAGATTTTAAGATCATATTGGGAACAGAAGAGAAAGTGTCTAATGGCAATATGAATTTTAACACTACAAACCACAAATGGCAAGAAGGAATATAACAAAACATCATAGCTCCTCTTACTGGACAGAGATATAATGAAGAATGAGGGAAGGCAGAAGCTTTTAGAAAAAAAACAGCTGAGAAGCACTGCATTAGAAAATGTTCAATAGTGGAGCTGTCAGTGCAAAATTAAAATATATTTTCTAGAGAACCATAACTGAATTTTCCCCAGCTAATATCCAAATTGCTTTCCTATGAAATAACAATCACTTTTCTGGGGATTCCTTGTAGTTTCATACTCATACCAACTGAATTTCATAATTCTCCAAGCAAATTAAAAAATACATATATACATAATGGTAAATATTTGAAGAACTAGACATAATAAACAGGGTTAAAAAAATCTTGAACACAGTAAAACAGGAGTCAGGAGAATTAATTTTACTTTTCTCTGCCACTAGCTGTGTAATTTTGATCAAGGCAGGGAAAAGATGAAACAAAATATTTATGACATGTTCAAAGTCTTTTTTTATGGCTCAAATTTAAAATCTCCTATGGGGTGGGAATGGTGGTGCATGCCTATAATCCAGCACTCTGGAGGCTGAGGCAGGAGGATTGCTGGGAGTTCGAGGCCAGCCTGAACTACAAAGTGAGTTCAAGGCCAGTCCAAACTGCATAGTGAAACCCTGTCTCAGAAAGATTAAAAAAAACAAACAAACAAACAAAAAAAACCTCCTAAACCTTGTAAGATAAATGTAAATACTTTCACAAATACAAAAGCAACTATAAACATACAATTGATATTCCAATCATAATTAATGATTGTGACCATTGAAAAATGAGTTAGAAATTTCCCAAAGAAGTGTTTATATTTAAACACTTTTGTATTTATATTCTAAATACCTCCCTGTGTTGTTCCTCTAATTATGAAGGGGTCTGTGACACTTCCATACACTAATATATCTTGCTTTCATCATGTCCACCCTCCCTTCTACCCTTTTCCCTTGTTATACCCTTAATGATAATAAAATGGTTCACCTGGCATAGGATTTGATCCAAAAATAGATAAACAGTCTAAAAGGACAGTTAAATTAATTCGAAATATAATAGGCTCTTCCCGAACCAGAAACTCTTGAAATACTCCAGCCTATGAAAAAAGTAAAAATGAAAACGATGTTACTATATTACGGAATGAAAACACTTAAGATTCTAGATTACACTTTACGCGTTTTAGAAATAACGAGCTAACTCCTTGAGAAAAGTTTCTCCTTACCAAGGAAAACATCTTAGTTTCTTTCAACTGTTACTCATTAGAACAATTCTACTCAACAGTTTAGTAGTTAAAGGTGTACTGGTGATTTAGGCCCAATTCAAATTCTTGTGATGGGTTTTTTTTAGCTCCACTGCTGGCCCTAAACTTATACCTTATGTGATGCTTCTTTGTCTACTTCATGTGCTCATCTGTTGACTAGGGTAACTGACTTTTGCCAAATTACTTAAATTGTGCCTCAATTTCCAACATGTAAAAACGGGCATAACAGAGCCTACTTGTTCGTATTGTGAGAAAGACAAATGCTAAGCCCTGGGAAGAGTTCCTGTCCTACAGTTTAGCTTAGTAAACTTTAGTCATTATTACCCATTATCTCTGTAAGACCAGATAGGAAAAGAATTTGTCATCATGAAAGAAAAAACTCAAAAAATGACATTATGTTCTCCAATTTTGTCTAATAATAACCTCCCAGAATTCATGAAACTGTAAACAATATCGCGCGACAGGCTAAAAGGTGCCTTTCTGATACCTTAATAAAAGCATTAGCTTGCACACACTTTGCATTTTCCACAGTAACCTTGACTCCATTTTTAGTAACGAAACAGGTGGCATGGTCTTGGAAATGGATAGCTTTCAGAATAGTGGAGAAATTCCTAACGTTGTCAAGGCTGGCCACTAAGCAGTACTGATCGCTCTCATCCTGGATGCGTTGGGTCAGGAGGGGCATGGTCTCCGGCACATTCGTCCCCGAGGGCTGCTCCCGCAGATCACGGAACACCTGCGAGATTGGACAATAAACCCGTTAGTGCAGGCGAGGACTGGAGGCTTAACCTGCCACAGGAGGTGCAAGGGGCCTGGATGTTTAATCCGGCTGACCAGACCAGCTGAGCCTCCCGCTGGGGTCAATCACCGCTGTACAGGTTTCCTCGTCTTCGGTGTACGCCAGCGGGACACGGGAAAAGTTGCAAACTATGAAAATACGCAACGCAGACGGCAGGTTTTACTTCGGGCAGAAGTAATGCCCGAACTGCAAAAAGGCCTACATTCGCCCAGTCTGTTGGCACCACTCCAGGGTCATTATCGTCGCCTCACCAACCAACAGAATAGGCTGGGGCGCGGGCCTTGCGTCCTCAGAGGACACCCCGAGTCCCATGTTCACCAGCCCGTCCACGAGACAGCGGCAGCTTACTCAAGAAGGGAAGCCCTGGGGACGTAAACTACTTTTACGGTGGGATATGGGTGCCAGAGTCCTCCCCACCTAGGTCCCCGGACAAACAACCTGCGGCTCCCGGGAGACCACAGACACAGTGGCGCGTCTCCCGCCACTCTTCTCGGGTCCTCCCACCACCTCTGCCACCGGCAACCACAGAGCTGAAGGACGCCTAGAGAGTCGAGCGTGCTGTACTCCCAAACCGGAAAAAGGCACCATAGAGCTGGAGCGGGACCGCGGAACCGAGCGAAGATACCGTGGAGAACGGAGTGGAGCGAGTGCCGGAACCGGAAGTGTAGTCAAACGCGGAGGTGGCGAGGCAAGATGGCAACCAAGAGGAAACGGCGTGGGAACTTGCTGGTTCGGGCGAAGAAGCCAAAAAGAAACGAAAAAGATGCCGGGCCTCCAGTTACATCATCGGCTGTGGCAGAAGAGATGGAGGAAGCAGAGAGAGATCGTATCCCAGGCCCTGTTTGCAAGGTAGAAGGTGTTATGCTTGCGGCGGCGGTTCCATGCGCCTTCCTCCGGGCTGCTTATTTAACTGGTGCTCCGCAAATTTGGAAGCCCCCAGGGTGATACCAGAGCGCGGTCAGCAGTCCTCTTGCCTGGGCTGGGCAGTGTTTACTTGTAATCCTCGCGCACGCGGCCGCCTGCTAGCGGACGGCGGCGTAGGGACCCTACCCCGGTTACGGGGAAGGCCTGGCCGGGCAGGTTTCGGAAGCTCCAGTGTTCTTCTGCTTTTTATCTCCTCTGGGAAAATGCTTTTCCTTAGTTAGTATCTCTTTTAGTTACGGCCTCCAGTGGGGAACATTCCCATATCCCGCCACAGTCCACCAGTGTCAGTCATTAATCTTCAAGCTTGTTATACAAGCCTTTAAAGAGTTATTGTCAAGGCCAGGCGAGGTGGCTCACTCCTGTATTCCCAGCACTCCGGAGGCTGAGGCAGGAGGATTGTTGCTTGTTCGAGACCAGCCTGGGCTACAAAGTGAGCTCAAGACCAACCTGAACTGCATAGCGAGACCTTGTCTCAAAAAGAAGACAAAAATTGTGACCCTGATTATTTGCTCAGGTCTTTAACTCAAGATATAATGAAAACTATACTAGATATTGGAATTTTGTCAGTGTTCAGTTTTCTAATGTGCCACGCCCTGTACCAGGGTAGACTCCTATGGCCTTGGTATGGCAAAGATGGCTAGAGTGGGACTGCTTTTTCAGAAATGGTGGTGTTTCGAAGGAAACTAAAATTTCTTGGAATTGATACTTTTGTTTAAAAAGTGAGCACAGTTTCTCGTTAAGCTTACTTTTCATTCAACTGAAAGCGTCTTAAACAGGGTGAAGACTGTGGAGACAGGAATTGCCTTTGATTTATTAATTTCTGTAACTTCCCTCTTAGTGTAATACTCTGGCCCTTAATTAACAATCCTGGGTAGTGTGACAACTCTGAGAAAAGTGTGACTCAGAATTGAAAGATGAATATAAGTTGTGGTCTTGCTATAACAGTGACACCCTTAGCTTTTTGGTCTTATGCCAGCAAATTAAGGGATGAAAATACTTCTTGTGAAAAGCCGGACTCCAGTAGATTTTTGTAAGTGTGCATGCTCTCTGTTCTTTAAGGAGCAGGAAGAGTCAGTGTGGTGGTGTACTCCTGTAATCTCAGCACTCTGGGAGGCCAAGGATGTCCAGCCTGGTCAATTTAGCAAGAGACCCTCTCAAAAAAAGGGTGAGGAATTTAGTTCAGTGCAGAGGCACTGGGTTCGCTCAGAGGTATGGGGTAGTGTTGGAAAAAAGTAGAATGGGATCTATATCTGAGTACTTTCTCTGAAATGCAAGAAATAGAAATTACTTTGGTCCTAAGAGAAAAGCTAAGGAGTCATGACCTATTCAGCCTTTGAGTTGGGTCTTAAAGGAAGGGTAGCGTTTTGATGTTTAAAAATAGGAGGGAAGGGCCGGGTGTGGTGGCCTGTGCCTCTAATCCCAGCACCCAAAGGTTGAGGCAGGAGGATTGCTGTGAGTTCAAGGCAAACGTGAACTGCATATCGAGACCCAGCCTCAAAAAGAAAAAAAAAAAAATGAGAGCAAGTAGTCCAAGAGAAAGAAGAACTCATCAAAAGTGTTAAAGTGAGGAAATGCTAAAAATCTCAAAAACAGAGCCAGATTGGCTTAAGCGTATGGTTAATATTGAGCAACAGTGACTTAAGGCGTGAAAATGTATTTTAAAATTCAGTATTACAGCTATATCATGTTGCGCTTTCTTTAGAAAACACTTCACGATTTTTCAGTTAATCAGAATAATGCTTATTTCAATTCAATTCAATTCAATCAAAATTCAATCAGAATAATGCTTATTTAAAAAAAAAAAAAAACAACAGCTGGCGCTTGGCCATATCATCTAGTGGAAGAGCTCATGTCTGGGAAGGCTGGTAGTTTAGGGGATTTGCTGTTGATTCGAGGTCATAAGGATCTAAGTAAGAATAGTGGGAATAAGAAAGAATGTTGCAAGAACAATTGACAGCTTTTAATAGTGCTTATGATATTAAAAAAAGGGGCAAATGAAACTTTCAAAGTGTGGGAGATTGAAATGATGTTGACTGCATAAGCAAAAAACAAGGAAATTACCAGATTACAGCGATGGCGGACCTTTTCGAGTTTTCAGTGGAAACAAGCAACCTGCTCTGGCATGTGTAGTACAGGTTTTGACCACTGGTATAGGATAATGTTCAGTGTCAGACTTTGAGGCTTTAGCCAATTAATGCTAGAGAGAGTTTCTTATCTTCCTGTACAATTGAAGCCATGGGAATTAGTATGAGATCTATAATGGAGTGAACTGAAAATAATAATAAAAAAACTAAAAAGGACTAAGAAAGAACCTTAAGAAATTGGAAAGATTGAAGACGAAAAGCAGAAAAGAAAGGAAATCCAGGAAGGCATTTCTGGATGGCAGATGTGGTTAGTGAATGTTAGTAAGAGATTGAACTAAAAGGGCTAGGATTGTGATTTGCTGTCCTGGAGGTTTTGTTGTTGTTGTTGTTTTCCAAACCTGTCTCAGTATGCTGCCCCAGGCTTGTTGGAACTCCTGAGCTCAAGTGATCCACCTGCCGCAGCCTCCTCAGTAGCTAGGGCTATAGCCGTGGTCACTGCCTGGCTCTGAAAGCTTTATAAACTGTCTTTAAAACACAAGACAGGATCAATATGAGATTTTAAAATTTTTCAATGTTTCCTTTTTCTTTAGGGCAAGTGGAAAAATAAGGAACGGATTCTCATCTTTTCTTCCAGAGGAATAAATTTCAGAACAAGACATTTAATGCAGGACCTGAGAACCTTGATGCCTCATTCTAAAGCAGGTACATTTATATCATGTACTTAAAAAAACTTCCATTTATAAACTTGCTTATTTATATATTTACTCTTCCCTTATAGTCTTGCCAGGTAAAGAATTGTAGCACCTCAGAAGTTTATCCTTTCAAGTACCACAATTTTTAAATTAACATTTCATAAAAAGTACTTTACAGAAGTCATTAGACATTTTTTCTTTTTTTAAACAGATATCCTAATATTGAAACATTTAATGCCTTCATTTTAATGCCTTTAGTGTCATGAGATGAGTGAAATGGTTTGTTCTGCTGATTCGCAACTGCCATGTATACCTTTTTGAGCCTTTTAAACATTTTTATTAAATATTAGTGGGTATAGATAGGACTTGAAGGATTTTTAATTGGGCTCCGCCTATTTCTGAATACCATGTTACTGTGGTTAGCAATGGGATATCTTGGGTCTAGCCTTAACTTTAACCCATGGCAGTGCCATTATGTGGCTGTTTTATGCCTGGGTTGGGAGATGCTTTTGGTTTTAAATGTGTAATAGCTTGTGGCTTTATACCAGTGCTTCAAACTGGAGTCTGTTGCAATGTCTTCAGATCTAAAACTAGTAAGAGAAAATTGAATTGATATATTTTCTATGATAATCTAAAACCAATTTTTAAAATAAGGTTTTTTGACAATGATGAGTCAAAATATGTTTTCTTTGGTTAAGATTTTAGTTTCCTAAGGGAATTTTTTTCTTAAATTAGGCTTATTGAACATAATAATCTTCAGTTCAAAAGAAATTTCCTACTTTTGAAAAGAAATTCATAGAACCCAGTCCTCTGTATCCATGGATTCTGCATCTGCAGATTGAACCAACTACAGATTGAAACTATTCAGGAAAAAGTGTACAGTACTGACTCTATACAGACTTTTGTCATTATTCCCCCAAAGAATACAGTGTAGCAACTACTTACATAGCACATACATTGTATAAGTATTATAGGTAAGATGTAGAGATAATTTCAAGTGTATATGAGAGTGTACAATATTTTATATAAGGGACTTGAGCATCTAAAGATTGTGTTATCCTCAGGGGCTCCTGTACCCATTCTCAGGCTCTGAAGGATTACTACCTTAAGTCTTAAGAAATACTGCTTAAAGTAATTTGTAATTCTTGAGGACTTTTACTTACATTCTTTACATTTAAAAGAACCTAGAGGTTACATGTTGTCAGCTCTAACAACTTTGAAAATTAATTATAAAATCTCTGTTATATGGAGTAGCCTAAAAACACAAAATTATTTTCTAATAGCATGTATGACTTGATTGAGGTAGTGTTAAAATAATTTGCTAACTTACTTTTTCTTCTTTTTTTAGATACTAAAATGGATCGTAAAGATAAATTATTTGTGATTAATGAGGTAATTTGAGAAATTAATAATATTTTACGAATGCTAAAGATTGTTCATTAAAAATAAGTCAGCGACTTAAAAATTGTTTTGTGAAAGATACTCAAATTTTAAGAACTTTTTGAAAACCTATTGTGTGACTTTATTGTAATTATCAATCTCATTTCATGCTTCAGTACACAGTATATAATTTTTCAATCATTTCTGTGTGTCTTTCTCAAGCATGTTGAAATTTCCTAAGGACAATTTTTTATCCTTTCGTAATAACTAGTATTGTACAAGGTTAATAGTAGATACTCATAAGAATGATAAACTTAACTCAAGTAAAATAGAGTTTTTTTGTTATTTTAGATGGGGTCTCGCTATGTAGTTCGGGCTGGCTTTGAACTTCCTATGTTCAAAGTAAGGCTGGCTTCAAACTCATGGCAGTCCTCCTACCTCAGCCTCTTGAGTGCAGGGATTATAGGCACCTCTAAGCCCAACTAGAATTTTTTATAAAAAAATTGTAGAAAATATAAAAGCATTTTACCAATATTAAAAGTGATGTATGTGAAATTAGGCATGGTGGTACACACCTGTAATCCTAACACCCTGGGAGGCTGAGGCAGGAGGATCATGAGGTTGAGGCTAAGGTGGGCAACTTAGTGAGACTCTGTCACAAAGTAAAAAAGGGCTGGGGATGTAGCTCAGCATGATGGCCCTAGGTTCAACTGTAGTAACCACAAATAAATACATGCACACAGTAGACAGTAAGTACAGTCATACATAAAAGATGGTGTATGTGTCAAATTTGCTTTAAAGGTATTACAAACTTGTAATAGGTTAAATTTTCAGAGTATTGTTGAAGAGACAAAACATTTTGAAATACATTTTTCAAAAAAATTGTTTTAAGATAATTCTCTTGCTATGAAAGCCTTTTATGTTATTGAATGTCTGCTATAATATGGTATTGTTCTGTGTGCTGTGGAAACAACATGCTGTTGTGGAACTTGCATTCTAATGAAAGAGCTGGGCAGAGACAACATGCAGAGTTTGAATCAAGCACAGGAGAAATGAAGTGGTATATAGGTTTTCGGGCACTGAGCCGGACTGCAAAGGCTCTTTTGAAGGGGTTCCCTTTGGCATGATATTAGAGAAGTGTGAGGGAAAGCATTTTAAGTAGAGAAAATGGCAAATACCAACACCCAGAAATAGTAGGAACTTTGCATTGTTGTTTATTCTTAGACAAAAGAAACAAAAGTGTTGACCTAAGATTTTTTAGGTTGTTAGGCTTAAACTGTAGTTGTTTAAAGTTTATGAGTACTATATTAGACAATTCATGAATATTATCTTAATACAAGAGTTAATCCCCCCCACACACACACCGGCAATTGAACTCACGACCTTGCCCTTGCTAGGCAGGCGCTGTGCCGCTGAGCTAAACCCCCAGCCCCTACAAGAGTTAATCTTACAATGTTTTTCTGTGTTTAAGTGTTTCTAAACATTCAAGATGTTGATTCAGCTTGAAGTAGCTTTGTATACTCTTGCTCTTCACCAATCCCTTAGTGATTTTATGAAGTCAGATTACCAGAAATAACAGTATAAATGTAGGGGAAAAACTTTAATTTTGTGACATTAAATAATAATTTTAAAAAGCCAAAAATTTCAATACCAAAAGAAAGTATATCTTTGATTTTTAAGGACTGTTTTCCCAAGATTGGTAAATTTAACTGTGGTATGCCTTATCCTATGGCATTTTCAGTCTTTATATTTGCACATGTGACTAAGGTCAGAAGAGGTCCCCCTAGTCAGAAGATCAATTACTTTAAAATGCTAGGCCAAAAAGAGCAGGATAGGTTCTTCCATCAAAGAGATGCGCAAAGCATCCAGTTTCCCTTGGGTAGAGTTATGTTAGAGAAATTTTCAGTGTTTCTTTTTGTGAAGAAATAAATTTATCTGGATGTAGAACTTTGTGGCCTATTAGCCTGCTTAAATACTTTAAGAGAAAACTGATAGTTAATTGAATTACTTCAGTTCTATTTGTGTTATCTACTTCATTTTTCTATACTTTGGTTCACTTAGGTCTGTGAAATGAAAAACTGCAATAAATGCATCTATTTTGAAGCTAAGAAAAAACAAGATCTTTATATGTGGTAAGAGAATGAATTATAAAAGGAGGGAAAATGAAGCAAATTAATTTGATTTCACAAGATCTGAAGCCTTTAAAAAATTAAATATATGGGTATTTTAAGCATATTAGTGTGTCTTCTTATGGTGGATGATAAGCATTTACCGTACTCTAGATTCTTAATGACCAAGCTTCCTTCATACATTTCAGGCTTTCAAATTCACCTCATGGGCCCTCTGCCAAATTCCTTGTTCAAAATAGTAAGTTGAGTCAATGTAAAATTTTTCTGATGGAAAAATTTTAAATCTTTTGGCATAAAAGTGCCAGAGTTGTAACTCTTTTCATTTTTGTTACAATTTTTCTAGTTCATACCCTAGCTGAACTAAAGATGACTGGAAACTGTTTAAAAGGTTCTCGGCCACTGTTGTCCTTTGATCCTGTAAGTTCCTTGTTCCATGTATGATGTCTGATTTTTTTTTTTTTTAGTCTGCGTGATTGTTTTTCAGTGGATTTAGTTGTGAATGTAATTGAAATAATATAAAACCAATTTTCAACAAGTCATTATTGTTGAATGACATCCTTGTTTTATTGTTATAGGCTTTTGATGAATTGTCACATTATGCTTTGTTAAAAGAACTCTTAATTCAGGTAAATACCTTTTCTAGAAAATATTTTAGTAATATAATGAATGTCTTCCTGTGAACTTTGTTAACTTAGCTATCAGAAACGCAAACCTTGGAATAAGAAAAGAACATTATGTACTTTTTTTTTTAATAGATATTTAGTACCCCACGGTATCATCCCAAAAGCCAGCCATTTGTGGACCATGTATTTACTTTTACCATTTTGGATAATAGGATATGGTTTCGGAACTTCCAGGTCAGCTTTTCTTTAATTTTTAATTATACTTTTAAATAAAAATTCGTTTTGTGTAAATAGCTTCTTTTTCCTTCCAGAGATTTGCTGCAAATAGCTATGTACTGTTTCATTCCTTAAATAATCTCTACCTATTTCACTACTGTCAGTCTGTAGAGTGTATAAACTTCCTAACAATCAACCATATGTTTCATTTTCTAAAAAAACAAAGTATAGAATACTTAGTTACTATAAAGTACAAAAGGTACTTTGTACTGCCTTTCTGAAGTATAGGATAACTTCATTCTAAATTTAAGCTAAGTCCTATAAAAGTTACAGTAAAATATGTTTCTCAAAAGAAAAGGTTAGAATCCGTTGGGATTGGGGAGGGAGTGTTGGTTAAGACTTAGAAAAATGTAGGGACTTTAAGGGAGAACTATTAGATGAATCATATGGCTCATTCAGGAGAAGTGGTTCTAGAAATCTTAAAGCAGGAATTTCTCAGGATAAGTCTGCAGAAAAATGGAGAAATGGAAAAGAACAACAGGAACAAATTTTAGACATGACATGAACTGGGCTCTTATCTGAGTGTTTTATACTGGGCTGGGTACCTTGCAATATGAATTAAATGTATAACTCTCCCCGTTTGTTTACACAGGGCCTTTATACTGAGCTGCTTGCTTCCCTAGCCCTCTGTTTAATTATTTTTATTCTGAGAGAGTGGCAGAGTCTCTTTGTTACCTGCTCTTGAATCCTGCTACCTCAGCCTCTCACAGTGGTGGAATTACAGGCATTTGCCACCATGCCAGGCTCATGTTTTTCTGAAAGCAGACATACCTGAACTAACAAATAATGTTTGTGAAAAGCAGGATATCAACCAAGTACAGATACTCAGTTTAAAAGAACACACTGAAAGAACATTTTTTTTCATGACAGTTCTGTAGCAATATCAGAAAATATTAATTGATAATTTGGCACTTGCCAAGATTGTCCCTTATTTCTACCTTAAGTTGATTATCAGTTCTTTTAGCACATTCATATGAAATTATTACCAGTTTTTCCTGTTAGAAATACTATATCCAAACCAAAATAAATGTTTCCTTTTTATTAAAGATCATAGATGAAGATGCTCAACTTGTAGAAATAGGACCTCGTTTTGTCTTAAATCTGATAAAGATTTTTCAGGGAAGTTTTGGAGGACCAACTTTATATGAAAATCCTCACTACCAGTCACCAAACATGGTAAGCTTTTCTTGGTTGTTTAATGTTCTGTGAGGTACCAGACCTCTTCAGCTAGAATAATGTTGTAATTACTGTCTTATCACCTGTGAAACTGAATTGGTTTTTGCTGCATAGAAATCACAAATCACTGCCTTGTTTTTTGACACAGGGTGTAGGGACAGAGTTCAAAAGTAAATGACTTTCCCTTATGTAAAGTGTTTATTGCAAACATCTGATCTTTATTTTTTCAGCATCGGCGGATCATAAGATCCATCACAGCTGCAAAATACAAAGAGAAACAGCAAGTAAAAGATGTGCAGAGACTGAGAAAGAAAGAGCCAAAGACTGTTCTTCCACATGATCCAACTGAAGATGTTTTTGTTATACCAGCTAAGGAAAAACCAGTAGAAATACAGTGGGTCAAACCAGAGCCAAAAGTTGATTTGAAAGCAAGGAAAAAAAGGATTTACAAAAGGCAAAGAAAACTGAAACAGAAGATGAACAGTGGAAGTGCAAAATGAATAAGTGGATAGTTGTTTTCCAATTAATGTATATTTATTTCCTATTCAGTGTATAAATACATCTACTATCCTGGACTACCTTATGTCTAACTTGTGTACCATTTACAAGAAAAAGTATCTTAGAATCAGTGGTGTTTATCTTTTTCTAAATAAAGCACTGTATCACCAAAACTCATCAGTTAATTTTGTGGTTCTTTTCAGTTTTGTTAACTAAGAATTTTTTTCTTTTACTTTGTTTTTTAAAAATTGCTTTCTTTTCACTGAAAATTTAGCATGCTTAATTTAGGCTTGCTTTCTTGATTAGAATTTTGGGTGTAAGGAATTAAAGTCTGCATCCTAAAGGCATAACTGCATGCCCATGTGTATTGTACGTCAGTAACCAAGATGGAGCCAACGTAGGTGCTCACCAGCTGAAGAATAGATAAAGGAAATGGGGCATATAAGAAGAGGATTAGGTCATTTGCAGGAAAATGAAGACCTGGAGACAATCATGTCAAGTGAAATAAGCCACTCAAGTACCAGATGTTTTCCCTAACATGGAGACTATAAATGATGGCTTGAAAGTAGAAGGGAGACTTGTTACACAAAGGGAAGGGAATAAAGTGTGTAAGAAGAGTAATGGGGTAGACAATGTGCTGAGAATTATAAAGCTATTATATCAAATCCAAATACTTTTAAAAATAGGTACTAACAAAAATAAAGTTAAGAATTTTGGTTTATCAAGCTGAAATTAAAACATTTAAATCCCTTAAAGGGATGAGGCATTTTGAGAACAATTTGGATGACAAGGTAGGGTTGGTCTGCAGAAAAGTATATTACTGAAGCTTGACGCATAGAATCGCCAGTTAATAAAGCCTTGGAAAACCTGACCTCAAATCTTCCTCCCTTCAAGAGTACTTTAAAATTCTTAGCTTTTGAGACTCAAATAAATTAACTGTGGAAAGTATATTGTAAATTTACAAAGCTATTTTACAAGCAGTGCATTTTGAGTTATTTAAACTCGGGGGGAAAAAAAGGACAACTGGGGAGGTACCAGAATATTTGAACTTCTCTGCCAATATTGCTTATTGAAAGCACAAGGGGTAAGGGGCTGGGAATATAGCTCAGTGGCATGAGCACCTGCCTGCCTGTCAAGTGCAAGGTCATGAGTTTGATCCCTGGTACCGCCAAAAAAAAAAAGCACAAGGGGCTACTGAGTTTTAAGAACCTGGAGATAGATTAGTGATGGAACAGACATTTCTCCAGTAAGGGTAGGAAGCTACTGAAATGGACAGATGTGTTTTATATGCGTCCAACAAAGTTGACTCACGCATCTGTTGTGTCAGTTACTTTTTTTGACTAGTCTTTTTCCTGTATCTTCCTGAACACTGTCTACTACACAGTGTTCCACTTTGTAATGTAGTGAATAATCTGACCAATATCATTTCCTTGTTGGATACTTCAGTTTTGTTTTGCTGGCATAGGTGCTTAGCATAACCATTCCTGTGTATAAATTTGTGGGATTTTAGAATTGGAATTCAGGATAAAAGTTTCAATCATTAAGGTTTTGTTCTTGCTTGTACAGAATTGTACCTTACCAGATGTTAGCATGTTCATTTCCTTGTACTCATGCCAGTGGTAAGGTAATGTCAGTTGGAAAGTGGTATTTTTTTCTTCTGGCTTTGGAGTTATTTTTTCTTTTGTGATGACAAGTCTTGTTTTTTGTATTAGAGGTATCTTTTACTGATTTCTAAAACCTCTAGCAATTTCAGGTATCTTTCCTGATTTGTTTACAGTTTAATTTTATGGCTGTTACTTAAAATCTTTATGTCAGTGAAATTATCAGTCTTCCAGGGGGCTGGGAATTTAGCTCAGTGGCACAGCACCTGCCTGGCAAGCATGAGGTCGTGAGTTTGATTCCCCTTACCAGAAAAAACAACAACAAAACTGATGTCACATTCTTCAAAAAAAAAAAAAAAAGGGCTGGGGATTTAGCTCAGCGGCAAAGTGCCTGCCTGGCAAGCGCAAGGTTGTGTAGTTTTCTGTTAAAGACTTACGAGTTTTGTGTTTAATTATACTACTTATCTTGAAATAGTCTAGACTGTGGAGGACATTATTTGATTAGAAAGCATGAGGACACATAATTTGTTTATTGAATTGAAGGGGCGGGGGATTTAGCTCAGCAGCACAGCACATGCCTGGCAAGCAGGAGGTCGTGAGTTTGATTCCTGGTACCAGAAAAAAAAAACCCAAACCAAAAAAAAAAAAAAACCACTACAAAAAAAACCAAAATAAAATGAACTGAAACTTTGCATCTGAAGATAAGAATCCATGGATTAAGGAAATGTGTATGATTATCAAGTTGACCAGGGGTGGATAGACAACTGATGGTCAATTTATGATCCCCAGCTGAACTGAGTGAGCATGGTGCTGTGTGTGGGAGGTCCATCTGGGGATTGTTGTCAGCAGCTTGGGAGGCAGAATTGGAGAAGGATAAACTTTAATTACTAAAATGTTTGGTATCAGCATTTGTAGGATCTTCGCCTTTGTTTCTGGCTCAATAAAACGTGACTGAGATTGGTAATCGGGGCTGCAGTCTGAGAGGCTGTAAGTCCCCTGATCCCAGACCTTTGTCTCTTGTTTTTCTTGTCTGTCTTACTTTTTCTTATCCACAGCCACCTCGTTCTTGGGACCTGTCACTATAGATGGAACCACGTTAGACTACTTGAAATCTTGAAGTCATGTAAATTATGCAAGTAACTCAGGTCAGTGATTCACTTGAAATACTTGTATATGGATAGCTAAATAAGACCAAACCTCGTTAAATGCAATAAAAAAGAAAGTGTCTTTGTTTTATTTAGGCAGTTGAATATAGCCTTAGATGAAAATGAAACATTCTGTTCAAGATGGGCTTTTAAACATCTCTAAGTTAATTATAGGTCATAAACTGGATCAAAAAGTGGCCAGTAGGAGAGAAGACAATACTTCCTGATGTGTATGTACATTTTGCAGTTTTTGTAGAATTTGCAGTTATCACAATTTTGAATTATTAGTTTTCATATAGAGATTTTTGAGGCAAATTACTTCTTCACAGTCATATGGATACCTTATTTGAGAATTCCTCTGGGATAGATCATCACCCAAGCCCATGCTCTTTCTTCTATCTGCTGTTTCTATGCTGAAAGAAACTGTCAATGAGTCTTTGGTTGACCAGTATTGCATGTCTATATCTGTTTTCATGAGAAGCCACTT